GGGATGGAAACCCAGTCTCAAGTCAAACTCAGTTCAAGGTTCTAATCACCTTCCTTGGGGTTGTACCAGAATTATTAAGGACTTACACATGCCAAGGTGCTGGGGCTGGACAGAGGCTGGGACCATGGGCCACCATGTATAGCTGAGCAGGTTGTGCACTGCACAAACACACTTGATGGGGAATCAGCGGGACACTTGATAAGCTGTGGATGTGGGTTCAGGACCACTTCCACCAAGGAAGGAACACCTATTCCTTTGCTCCAAGGAGCCATCCAGTAGGTCATGTACCTGTGGGTGTCTTCCTATGCCTTCTAAAAACTGGCACAAAGGCAGCTCAGAGCAGGAGCGGCCATACAGAGTTGCCTCATCCTGTCTGAATGGCACATCCAGCTCCCTTGCCACTTTTGGAGGCCCTTCACCTCATTCATGCTGGGGGTGAGCCTCTGGAAAGGCTCTCCTGGCCCAAGTTCCAAGGCCTCTGCTCTTGAAACCCCCAATATAAATGGGATTTTGGCATCTCCATGTCCTTCCCAGGAAGGACAGCCCTAGACACTACAATACCTCCTCCCCCTTCTCAGAGGAATATTTCTTTTCTCGTAGGAACCCCAACTCTTGTTAGCTTCTGTTCTGACATCCCTTAGGATTTTTCCCCAACATTCTATCAGCCCGATGTCCACACTAAGCCTTTAACTTGTATTTTGAAGAGCAAAGTCAGGGAGACCTTTCTACTTGGGCTCTCTGCCTCTGCCCCCTAACCCCCTCCCGCCCCCCGCAAGGCTGTGGACTGTGGGAAAGGGATGAAACTATTTGGGAAAATCCATGAACCTTCCCCTCCCAACCCTCAGCTGCTCCACCACACCTAGGAGACCCGCGGGGCACTCGCTGGTCTTACTGTTTCTGGTAGAAAAAAGAATTCGCTTTCCCTAGCTCTCGCCTCCCCCCACACCTCTCCAGCTCCCCAGCCCGCAGCCCTCCTGCTTCTCGCGTTTTCGGTGTAACTCTGCGTGGGGGCCGCTCTGCTTCCCGGGCACCGAACCCCAAGGGCGCAGGAGGGGGACCTTGACTAGCAGCCCGAGCCCTTTCGGGGCTCGCCAGCCTCAGGCAGCGCCCCCTGCCGGGAGGTCGGGGAAACGCGCGGTCTCCTCGGGGCGCGCGGCTCACAGCGGTGGACACAGAAACGCGTGTCCAGGCCCTTGGCTGAACATCCGACGAGCTTCTGGCTACTAAGCCACTGAACTCAGCAAGCAGGACTCCAGTGCAACTTCCTCTCGTCAACTCTTTGATATCCCTAAATTGGAAATTGGTATCAAGCTGGGTGGATTGTCCCAGAAGTGTTGAGTCTGCCCAAAGGGGGCTGTGGTTAGAAAGAAAACTTTTCCAAACCATTGTCTTATGGCAGTGGGGAGCAATTTCTTTTGTATTTGCAGAAAACTTAATACAGCCAGCAAAAAAAAAAAAAATTATCGGCCATTAGAAAAATTTAAAGTAGAAGTGATTATATTTAGTTCCATGGAATTGTGTGTGTGTGTGTGTGAGACAGAGAGACAGAGACAGAGACACACACACACACACACACACAGAGAGAGAGAGAGAGAGAGAGAGAGAGAAATTATCCACCATAATGGATAGAGAAATGTCATGAGAACTTTGGGACTTTTGTTTTTGGCCATGCACTATTAATAGAAAATATATTTGTTAACTTGATAATCATATGGAGGCAGCTTTAAAATTTTTATTACAAGCAATAATAAAATGCACAATACTACTAATCATAAATTACATATGGCAAATTGATTCTTGAAGAAAGCCTTCATTGATTTTTGCAGAACTCTGCTGTCTCTAGTTAATCTATGATTGGAATTGACAAATGAACGCTGTATGTGTGACATGAATATTGGTTGGTAGTTCTTTTTCCCTTAACGAGAAAGACCAAGGTAAAATAACTAAGAAACTTCATTCGTTGTCAACATGAAGCAACCTTTTGCTAACTTGGATAATGGTTTTGCGACACTGGAAAAATCCTTCCTTGAATTCAGAAGCAACTGACACAATTACGAAATTTAGTCTGCCTTATTAACCTATTCGCCATCACTTTCTTTAAATCTAGAAAATCTACAAAACAGTAAGTCAATTTAACAATTAACAGATTATTTACTGGTCTCAGTAATGTAAATACACAAGCTACCAACACGAGGCCAGTGAATACCAAGTTGGGTAGAGATACAAAGAACCACATTATACAGAACAGCATTCCCACCTCACAGGTACACTAGACCACCATGCCTGCAACAACAGACGACAGTAAGACATGTTTTATCTTTTAGGAAAATTGTACTTTACTAGACAATCAAATAATTAGAAAGGGATATGTCTTGAGTATTAACTTCCTTTTTGCATAATTAATGGTAAGTTATAATTTAATTTTTAATAATGCCTGTATTTAACAACCTGCTCACAAAAGCCATAAGGAGCCCCATGTGCCACTGCCAGACTCCAGCCACTTCTGGTTCCACAAGGAGATCACTGGCAGGGGAGGAGAGGGCAGTAAGAAATAAGGGTTGGTTTTCCTTCTCCTGACCCCTGGTGGGAGGGATTCTGAGCTCCTTCTCCTCTAGTGTCCTTTGGAGCTCAGCCAGCCCTCCCGGCTCTTGGCCCTAGAGTTGGGCTCCTTGGTTTCTCACTCTTGCTGCTTCCTTGGCTTCTCCATCTGAGCTCTGCTTTGTACACAGCCTTCTCAGCACATCCCATTAACCACTTCCCTTGGAGGCTGCCTCTGTCTTCTGGCCTCACTTTGCCTGCTCAGACATCTCACACATCTACCCCCAAATTTAGGAAATGCGTGTCTCTAGGCAAGTTGCTCAGCTTCTCTGAACTTCAGTTTTGTGAGGATAAAACCAGATCTTTCGGGATATTTTTGAGAACGATTAACCAATGGTCTTCTTCCTGCCCTGCTCTTCCCCAAACTGGGCATCTGAACCTTGTAGTAGTCATTTCCTCAAGGACAGGATTTGACATGAGCAGACTGGGGAAAAGGCTTTGACTTCCAAAGTCCACGTCCCTGTAGGACATCAGGGCAAGGGAAACCTAATGAGTTAAAACAAAAAGAAGCACCTGACAATGTCCTCCTGGCCGGCCAAGCCAGGAGAGGTGGGAGAGCAAATGCTGGCAGGATGGGCATTTGAAGAATGGAGGACAAATGGCTCCACACTGAGTCCACGTAACTCCCTGAGTCAGTCCACAGGGCCCTGGTGCCCCAGTGTGGCCTGGGAGAGGAGCACCAACCGCTTGGGGCTCCCCCACAGGCTGGGTGATGGCATCAGCTGACAAGCAATGTGCACTTGGGCGAATGGGAGGACCGCCAAGAACAGGGGTCCAGACACCCCACCCCCAAACCTGCACCATGCCTTTGGCACTGAATAATCCCTTTCCTGCCAATTTGCCTGGGCAGGAGAGAAATTCTGAATTGAAAGGTATTAATTTCTACCAGGTGCAGAATAAGGTCTGTGATATGGGGTCTCTGGGGAAACAAGGCTCACTTCTATGCCATTTACGCCTGCAGACTCACACCTGTCACTAAGAGAGTGCTGGAAGTCACCTCAAGGGAGCTTCCCGGCCAACTTGCTGACGGGCTTCGCCACGCCATCTGCAAAATATATTAATTGGTGGCCCTGCCATGGCACCTGTGTCCCAGGAGCACCTCAACCAAGAGCCATTGGTTGGTTCTGTGCCACTTAATGCCACTTGCATGGGTTTTTGTCATTGACAACTTAAATAACTGCCATGAAACCGAAGGAGACACGAGTGAGTGAAAAAGGGCTGTGGTTTCCATGACAATGGAACTCGTTGGCACACGTTGTTGGGAGAAGATCGGCTGTCACATTAGGTGTAAGGGCGACCACTGCCAAAGTTCGGGGAGACATTATAACCATAGAAAAATTCTGTGGTCAGAGCACTTCACGGCTGTCTTTAAGTTCTCACTCCTACAGAAAGGAAATTGGCAAGTGGAGCCTCTGTCCTGCGCGGGTAGTTTGTATCAGAAGGAAAACCCACATCAAAAGTCTTACCTGGGGCCTCCCGGGTGGCGCAGCGGTTGAGCGCTGGGTTGCGAAGCTGCCCGCGGCCTCTGCAGCGCTGGTTCGATCCCCGGCCACCAGGTGAGGGTCCCACATGGCGCGCAGACCTCTCCTGCCGCCCGCTGCTCCCCTCAGCAGTGTGCTTCGGTCCTTCTGCCTGCTCTGCTCCCTGCTCTGGCTCTGGCGAATTCTCTCACCCTCCCGCGCTTCTGACTGTACCCAGTGCTTGTATGTATAAATAAATGAATGAATGAATAAATAAATAAATCTTTAAAAAAAAGTCTTACCTGCACAGTAACCAAATGGATAATTACTTATAAAGTAAAAACAGACTATTTCATGCGCCCGTGTGCACGGACACACATGTGCACACAACACGCATCCCCTTCATAGATCATACACGTGTGCATATAGATAAGATTAAAAAAATCGAACCTCCCATCTCCAGCGCCTCCGATGAGAAGTCTCCCACAACTGACCGCTTCACCATTCAGCTCCCATTTCGTGGCGGCTTCTAGTTTGGTCCACGGACGCCGGGACACCGGGGCGCGGTGGGTACGCGCGTCGAGGCATCCGCGGGGCGCCTCCCTGCACCTCTGCTCGGAGCTGGGCCCTGCCAACGAGCCACCGGCCGGCTCTTGGGCGTCTCCTGGCCCGTCCGGCCCGGTTCGGGGCGCGGCGCCGCGGTCCATCCGGCAGGGGGCACTGTCCGGCCGCCGTGGCCGCGCCGGGCCGCGCTCTGATTGGCTGGAGGCCGCGGCCCGCGCCCACGCCCGCCCGCCCCGTCCGCTAAGTGCGGCGGCCGGCCAGCCCCGGCCCCAGTCTGCGGGCCTCCAGGGCGGCGGCGGGGCCGGAGCGGCGCGGCGGCGGGACCAAGACCGGGGCGCAGCGGAGCGGCCGGCGGGCGAGCCGCGCACACCCAGCAAGATGCTGTCCTGGCGGCTGCAGACGGGCCCCGAGCAGGCCGAGCTGCGGGAGCTCAACGCGCGGCTGCACGACTACGTGTGCCGGGTGCGGGAGCTGGAGCGCGAGAACCTGCTCCTGGAGGAGGAGCTGCGCGGCCGGCGCGGCCAGGAGGGCCTGTGGGCCGAGGAGCAGAGCCGCTTCTCCGAGGAGGCGCGCCGCCTGCGGCAGCAGCTGGACGAGCTGGGCTGGGCCACGGCGCTGGCCGAGGGCGAGCGCGACGCGCTGCGGCGCGAGCTGTGGGAGCTGCAGCGCCTGGGCGAGGAGACGCGCGCCGCCCGCGACCGCCTGGACGCCGAGCTGGGCGCGCAGCGGCGCGAGCTGCAGGAGACGCTGGGCGCGCGCGCCGACCTCGAGGCGCGGCTGGGCCGGCTGCAGGCCGAGCGCCGCCTCCTCGACGAGGCCCACGACCGCGACGTGCGGGAGCTGCGCGCGCGCGCCGCCGGCCTGACCCTGCACTACCGCGCGCGCGCCCCCGGCCCCGCCGCGCCCCCGCCGCGCCTCCGCGAGGTGCGCGACAGCTTCGCGCTGCTGGTGGCCGAGTCGCGGCGGGACGCCGTGCAGATGTACGAGGACGAGGTGCGCGAGCTGGAGGAGGCGCTGCGGCGCGGCCAGGAGAGCCGGCGCGAGGCCGAGGAGGAGATGCGGCTGTGCGCGCAGGAGGCCGAGGCTCTGCGGCGCGAGGCGCTGGAGCTGGAGCAGCTGCGCGCGCTGCTGGAGGACGAGCTGCAGCGGATGCGCGAGGCCTACGACCTGCAGGCCGAGGAGCGGCAGGTCCGTGCTCGGGGACGGTCCCCGCCGGCAGTCCGGGGCGCCCGACACGCCGGAGGGGTGGGGGCGCGGCCGGGCTCTCTCGACGCGCAGCGCCTTCACCCCCATCATGGTGCACCGAGGGTGGGGCCCTGCCTGCATGGCTCCGGGACCCTACGCAGAAGGCACCGCCTACTTCCCCCGCAGGGCTGCAGGGCCCGGCTTCTTGCCAGGCCTGGAAGTGGAGCAGCGTATGGGTCCGGTCCAGTGACCCAACGGGCCAGTCCCATGTGGCAGGTCCCTGTGGATCGCCCAGTCGGTTAGCTTGTCGATTTCTTTAGACCTGGGCGTCTTTGGGTGCACCCTGACAAGTGACCCTCGGTTCTCTTACGTTTCCCAGCTCCATAGACCTACAGTAGTTCATAGAAAAGTCAACGAGAATGACCCAGACTTCCAGAAGTGACAGCTTATTCCTTCTTAGAGGGGTTTCTAGGCAATGCCAAGTCCTTGCCTGGAGCCATTCAAAGTAACAGCCCTTGCTGGCACTAGGCTCCCTGGGAAGAATTTTAAACTGATTCCCAAAAGTGGTTTTTTTTCATCTTGCCAGAATGACCTCCCAGCTGCCTTGTTTGTTCTTGGGAGGGGCAGCAACTTTGAATCAGAAAAGGGCTTAATGGGCAAAGTATTCTCACAGTGCAGATTAACGTCAGGTCTCTGGGTAGTGTAACTGGAAAAGGGGTCCAGTGGCAGGATGTTATGACAAGTGTGGAGGCATATAAACAGTTACTGTTTCAGGGAAGCAAAGTTCAGAGCTGCAGGGTGACACCTGCGGCTGATTTATTCTCTGTACACCCAGCCCAGTCCCAGTCCCACTCCTGACCCTGCCCAGTCTCAGCCAGAATTGGAGATACTCCCAAATCAGACTGTCAGTGGTTCTCAGGACGGCAGTTTATAATAACCTCCCCAGCATTTCACAACTGTTTGTAGAACCACTTGTAGCTGGAGGTTGGAGATTTATGATGGGGAGTTTGGTGCATTTAAAAAAAAAAAAAATCAAGGGAACACAGTGTTTATGTCTTAGAGGACTATAGTGAGGACACCGGGGTCCCCAGGCCATCAGTGAAGGTCTTCTGATGACCCAGGGTGCCCAGCACTGAGGTTTCATATTCAAAGAGCTGGTGTCAGCTGCGGAATCATACAAAGCAAGGCAGTTCTAAGTTGCTTGGAATTTAATCTGGGCTGTGGTTGTGTTTGGCCTTCACCTCATAATTTTGGAAAGCATTCTCCTGGGTGTTGCAGGTGGAGCTAGGACAGTGACTGGCTGAAGTGCTGATTTCCAGAACTTGCCCTCAGCTGAGAGTGTGCCCCTTCTCAGCACTGGGGGCCGGCACCCCCATGCCACAGGCACACACTGTTGCGTGAGAGTTAAAATGGGCTATACTGTCGGATTTCACAGAGCTTTAGACCCATGAGTATTGTGACCCCAAAGTGGAGTGCCTGCCAAACTTACTACCCACTGAACCCCTTTGTGGGGAGCCCCCATGTGGGGAGCCTTGTGTGAGCTCAGGCCTCACACTTGCACTCATGCTGCCTGACTCATTGTGGATGTTGAAGCTCTGGTTTCTGTGTTCTCGTCTAGCAGCAGAACCCTCCCTCTCCCCCATATAAATCCCAAGCGGAACCCCAAAGATGGAAAGTAGAGCTTCTCCTCTGGAGGAGCAGTGAGGCCTGAAGATGTACAGTTAGCATCATATCCAGTCCTCTGACACGCACCTGCTCCCTCCGCTGTGCCCCCAAGTTCCTTCCTGGGGTCACACCTGACCAGGGACTAGGAGGAGCTTACTCTCAGCTTCCGGTCCAGTGTACCCCATCTCTCTGGAATCAGCATCTTTTCCCTAAAAGTAAGGAGCATAGATGTGTTAGTAAGGACTCGGGCTATTTTTAGTTTTAATTTATGGCAGTTCCATGGCATTAAATGCTTCCTAGTCCATTTCCTGAATCTCTCCCCGGTCAGCTTAAAGCAGCCACATTTCCAATTGCTTTCCAAAAGATTCAATACCAGGCATTAGTATTAAAGAAAATGTGAAAATGCTAGAAATTTTGTTCAGGAGTAAGCATGGACGACTCCACCCCAAGCCACTGATATTTTCATTGTGCATAGAAGCAAAAGGTCCGTCCAGAGACACTGAAGACACCCACTTCCTGTAATGTGTGTTTCGCTGCTCAGTTCGCCTCTATCAAGCGCTCCTTGTGTGCCAGGCACCCATGTTCCAAACCCCCCCCCCACATGTATCGACTCTCTATCCTCACAGTGATCTCATGAGGTGCTACCAATGTTAACCCCCTTTTACAGATGATCAAACCAGTGTGGGACAAGAGCGGGTGCAGAGAAACCTCAGGAGACCACTGCAAATGTGAAGGCAGGAGGTGCCGGCGACTTGGAACGGGGCAGTGCAGAGGGCTGAGATGAGGGGTGGGGGGGATCTACTCTGAAACCGAAGCCTGGGAGGTTTGCGGGTGGCTTGGATGGGGCAGTGGGGAGAAGGAGAAATCCAAGTTGATGCCAGGCTCGTGGCCTGAGTGACTGGGAGGACTCTTTTGCTGGAGGGCAGGTTTGGCAGGAGCTCAGAGTTCAGTTAGAGATGTTCTTGGGTACCCGCCTGGTGTTGGGAGTCTGAGCTGGGTGCTGTCTGGGCTCAAGCTGTAAATACTTAACATTCAATGAATGTTTATTATTAAGTAAAGATTTTATTAGTTTTTGGTAACTATTTAGCTTTATTACTTGTTATTAATGCTTGTTAGTATTCAGTAGCAGTATTCAGTACATCAGCTACATGTCTCAGCCCTAACATTCAAAACCCCCAGTAGCTGTGACATTTACAAGCTCTTGGTATTATTGGGTGACTTGCTCAGCTCGAGGCGACTCCCGTTTGGTTAAGAGAACATGGATTCTTTGGATACCGGCAGCAGCGTGCTTTCCCTGGTGTAGCCCACATTTCATCATCGGTTCTGATGCCACTGAAAGGCTCTCTAAATAGCAACTAAAAAGGTGACCTCTCTTCCCAGCTTTTATGCCACTAGGTGATCCAACTTCCTCCAGGTTAGAATTAGCCCGCTGGGTCTCCTGCTCCAGTCCCTCTGGCCTGGCCCAGGGTTTGGAAACTTCTGGTGAAGCACAGCCCAAGTCGAGCTTCAGTCTACCTGCAGGATCCATTACGGTTTCTGTGGGGACTGTGGGGAGCCGAGAAGTCTTGTCTTCTGCTCCCAGAAGTCCACTCATTTCCTTTGCCGGTTGAGGAGGCGCTGACTCACATGGCCATGTGGTTGGAACTATACTGATTTTCCTCCTCGTGCTTTAAGGGGTGCAGAACTAGGCTGTGCCCTCCGGGAGGAGAGACAATCTTCATGGCTGGGAGAGCTTAGACCGCTTAGGAGGGTTGTGGTTGGAGAGTTGAGAACTTATGTTATTTTTTTCTAAGCAACTTAAGAAGAGTTGAGCTTCTCCGTAGAGAATAAATCACTACAAAGTCTCAAGTTTTACTCTGTAGGTCAAGTTTCCTGTGAAGAATGGAGCAGTCTATTTATGTTAATATATATGTGTAAAATATATTGCCCTATAACCATGTATTGCAATTTATCTTCCCGCTAAATGGGGAACATAGGATTTTAACACCTAGATTTCGCTGGATCGGAAAAGAGTCATGACTAAATCTTAGCAACTGTCACTGGCAGGTGGTCTGGTCTGGCGAAGCTTTGTCTCCTTCTGAGGCCAGCTTTGGGGACTATCATAGATTCACGGGGAGAGGGGGGTGCCTGGTGACTTCTAAATGTACTCCCTCGTTTTACAAGCTAAGTGATTGTGTTGTTAGCATGCTTTATCTACACACTGGGACGCTAACAACTAGTACTAGCTAAGCAAGAGAGCTATTATGGGAGCCACGAATACCAGGTAAATTCTACCTCAAATCCAGGTGACATTTGTAAACCCCCCACTGTCTCTTCGAGGCTAATTTTCGGTAGCACCTTAGTTGATGGGTTTGATGTCTTTCCCAAGTGGCCCAACTTTTGAACTGCACAGACGCCTGGTGGGTCAGCTAAGCGTTTGTTGTTGCTATGAGTGAGTATGACCAGAGAGGAGAGTGTCCTGTTAGAATCTCCCACGCGTGATGAGGTCTTCCTTGGGGACGAAATGCAGTATTGAAATTCACCCTTGCAACGACCACGTCTTTAATAAGCCTGCAGGTCCTTCATGTCTTTTCCTGTCCTGAACTCTTGGTACCTTAAGTGCCACCCTAAAGCGCCAATCCTCTGATTTAAAAGCCCTCTTTCTCTTTAGGGAGTGATCGCCTGCCTGGAGAATGAGAAGGCGTCCCTCACCTTGGCCATGGCTGACCGGCTGCGGGACTATCAGGACCTGGTGCAGATGAAGACTGGCCTCAGCCTGGAGGTGGCAACGTACCGGTGAGGATGCCGTGCGGCCTGCTGAGTGGGCAGTGTGAGCGGCCGGAGACTCTGCGGAGTCCCCGTGACAAGCAGAGAGCACCCCCTGGCACAGCAGCTAAGGAGTCTGGGGCCAGAGGGAGGAGGATGGGCAGGGCCTCCCCAGCTCACCCAGCTGGTGTCCCTGGTGATGGGAATAGCTGAGGGAGCCCCCTTGCCAAGGGTGTGCCTGTCCCAGGCACCCTGGAAGATCATTGGGTCCTAGGAATCAAGTATGAGTTCACAGAAGAGCAAGCTTGGCTCAGAGAAGTTAAAGGGCAAGAGCCCAGAGGCCAGGATCCTAGCCCCTGAAGCTGTGTCTGCCTGTTACACAGTTGTGTCCCCGGCTCTGACTCCACCCCCGTGGGTGTGGCCTTGAACTGCATCTCTGCCAAAAGCTTAGCAAGGTACTGCAGGCGACAGGCTTTGTTTATTGAGATGTCCACTTGAATTCGGGATGACTAACCCAGAGGGAAAAGTCACAAAGCCTGCAAAGGGGCTGGTGCAGGCAGGGCAGAGACTGCAGTTCACTGTCCCCCGAGTGGCCTGTGGCCCCAGAGCAGCTTCCCCTCAGCCTCCCTTTCCTGCCCCTGGGTGGCAGGCGGTCTGTAGTTGAGATGGTACCCCTTAGTTCCTGCAGCTATCGCCCAGGTCTCAGGCACTCACAGTGTAAGGACTTTTAGAGACCCTGGGCCTCCCCCGCCCCCCATAAGATGATAATGGTAGCCAGTGTCACCAACCCTCACCACCTGCCAGACAAGGAGCATTTCACCCTCTCCGCTGGGTGGGTGCCTCTCACCCCTGTTACAGGTGAGGGAGAGAGGGCCAGAAGTCAGGGGTCTAGGCTGGTGAGGGGCAGACCCAGCCTGTGTCTTACCCCCAGCCAGTTGAGGTGAGCACAATGCCCCCTTCATTCCTAGGGTTGTGTGAGCACAGATCCACCATGGGTGGGAATAGGCTTGGGAAAGTCTGCCTTGACAAATGAGGAGAGCATTGTCAGTGCCTCCCCAGCTCACCCAGCTGGTGTCCCTGGGAATAGCTGAGGGCCAAGGTCCACTTCCCTGTTGGGGGCAGAGCAGCTGAGTTGGGCACTTCCTAGAGGGCATCTGTGCTGTCTCCTGATCATGATTTCTGCTGAGACAATTAGAGGGGCCTGGGTGTCAGCTGGGGTTCCAGACCACAGCCTTGCTGTCCTTACCTTCTGCTAGACTTGCTCAGCCAGGTTTTCATCCAGGGCTTTAGTACCAGCAGTGAAGAGGGAGCTGGTCCGTAGCCTGGACCCAAGGCAGCCTTGGAGGAGTGAGGCCTGCCCAGGGCCATGGCAGCGGTGGAGGAGTCTGCGAAGAGCCTCCAGCCACACTAGGGGTGGCCCTGGGGCCAAACCTGCGGGGGCCTTGCTGGGTTCCCCTGTGAGAGCTGCAGTGGGCAGGGAGCCGAGCAGGGAGGCACTGGTGGCCTCCCCTTCCAAAGGTCCGTCTCCTGCATTCTCCTTGGAAATCTCGTGGGGCGAGCCACCCCAAAGTTAAATCGGTAGGGTGTTCAGCCATATGCTGAGCAAGATGGTATAGGCTTATGAGTAAGGATCACTCCAGAATAGTGCACTGTCTGTGGAAACCCCCCACACACACCTCTGTGCCCACTTTAATTGCTCTGTGGGCCACAGGATGTTTTCCACTAGAAGTAACAGAAACCCTTCTCAGACTGGCTCACGTCAAAATGGGAATTTAGTCCTCAAATAACTGGGAAAATCCAGACACCCAGATGAGGTTGGTGGTCTACACCTGGGCAGGACAGGCCTCCAGCTGCTGCATCCCCTGGTGTGAGGAGGGGGCTCTTCCTGACCTGCCTGCACTCTCTCTGGGTGTGGTGCCCACCGCTGGGCTGGGGGGTGACTCACTCTAGAGCTCGAGTGGGGTCAGATTCCTGTACGTCTCATGAACTGAGACTGGGGTGTTTGGTGCCCCAAATCAGGCAACATTCTAGCGCAGATGCCGGGCCGGCCCAGAAACCCACATTTGTGCCCATTTGTGACTGTCGGGTGAATCTTTTCTCCAGGGAGGCAGATGGTTCTTCCAGTTTCCTTTCTGGACTCATCGTCTGGGTTGGAATTTGAAGTCACCGATTTTGCACTTTGTTTCTGGGGTCTTGAGCCCTTGTCTTCCCTGCCCCATATTCTATCATATAAAGAGAGGGCACAGCCAGGTGTCTTTCCCAGAAGCCAGGGCCAACCTTTTTGGTAGGAATTCACTGCCCTGCCAGCTGTTTTTCATGGCCGTTAATCCCGAACCTCCTTTGCTCATGTCAGAGCCTACGTGTCGGTGGGGACAGAGTCCTCTACCTCTGTCTGCTGCTGGCATTTCCCTACCCCAATTAGGGGTTGGCTTGGCCATCTGCTGGCATTTTAGTCATCAGACTTTCCGGGACGAGAGTGATTATTTGACTGTATATCTTTCTCAAGTCCAAGTGTGCATGGGGAAAATGAGAAGCCAGGCCCAGGAGCCTGGTCTGCATCCACTGGGCCCAGGAACCAGGTGTGCACCTAGCTTGACCCCGCCCAGCTGCAGATACCAGCCTTGAGGGTAGAGTCACTGCAGGCCTCCCTGCCTCCTGGTGCTTAGGTCTTAGTCGGAAGGTGCCCGCTTGTCAGAAATGGTGGAATGTCACCCGTTTCCTTAAGTCAGAAGCCAGGCATTTTGTTTTTATGTTTCAGTGTCCTGAAGACAAGCCCTTGTCGCCCCTTAATAAGTGACTGTGTATATTCTGTGCTGCTGCTGCGTTCTAAGGACAGGCATGCAAGGCCCTGTTTGGGTTGGTGCCTTCTTGTTCTCTGACCCTTAATCTCTTTCTCCAGTGCCCTTTGATCTTTATAAATTGACATAGGCTTTCGGGGTGTGGTTTAACTCTGAGGACAGAGGGAAAGACCAGGAATGGCAGCATGGCCTCGTGGTCATCTTTCAGACAAGCCAGTGCTTTGGGACAGACCCTGATGCTCCTTGGCCTGTGAATGGAATCTCTCCTTTTGACCCCTGCTCCCCTTCCCCTGTGTCCTCTTCTGGCTTGAGTCTGAGGTGCCAGGCAGTCCCCCCACCCACTCTGGGGGTACACAGTGAGGAGGCCAAGGCACAGTTCCGTGCTCCACCCTGCTCCCACAGCCTCCTCCCTCCTTGTGTGTTCGTGGATGTGGGTGCACAGCAGCCTGGGCCCCTGATATGGAAACAGCAGCTCTGCCCTGAAACTCCATTAGGATAACAACTCCCAGACAGCCCTGCGGCACGGTCAGGACAAGGACGGTGGTCTGTTAGGGCCTGGAGCGTGGCCAGAGGCCACATTAGAGCTGGCGTCTGCCTATGGATTGTCTCGGACTCCTTAATGAGGCCAGGGACCTGGCTTTCCCGCACACATCTGCTTATTTTCCAGCTTACAAGGTTGCCAGCCTGTGGCGCTGTGAGAACCCATCACTAATAGCCCGTGATTCAGGGAGCTGGCATTTCTCAGTCACCAGGGCTGGGAGGCGGTTTCCTTCATCGCTCTCAAAATAACCGGACAACACTTGACCCATTTCTTAAAGTTGTACGAGTCAGTGCCTTGAAAAATAAGTTTCTTTGTGAAGACTCAGAATCATGGCAAATTGGAAATACTTGTACTTAGTGTCTCTGTCAGAAACTCTGCTTGGTTTATGCCTCTGCTGCTAGTCCTGTGAGCTGTTCCGTGGTGGCAGGACGTGGTGTGTCATAAGGGACTGTATGAATACTGCGTTAGGTGTTCACCTGGGCACCTGCACTGCCCAGTGCTGGGCACCCAAATGGAAAAGGTGACATAGCCTCTAGGAGCTGGTCACCGAGAAGGGGACAAGGGTGGGTGGGGGCTGAGTCCTCTCCAAGTAGGGGCTTTATTTTCTATGGGGGAGCCCTGTAGGGACCCTAGATGAAATCACCAAAAGATGTTATGTTTCCTTCCTTTAATAAGGGCTGGAGGGTCTGTCTGCCAGGTTTGGATTGCCCAGAATCTGTATGAGATGCCTGACCTGGTCTTGCAGGGAATTCTAGAGCTAATGGACTGGTGAGCGCGCAGGCTGCTGGGTTCCTTGTCAGACTCTGGACTGGTCCCATGTCACTCCCTGTGCAGGTGAGCTGGGTGCCTTCAGCCGGCCCACCCTGCCTTTGCTCCATCTGCTCACCTGTGACCTGGCATGCCATCATGGGCCCAGTGTAGGGGAGTCTCTAGGGGGACTGCATGTGGTGATAGGCAGGAGGGCTTGGGCAGTGTGGTGCTGCATTTCGGCTAGAGCCAGTGAGGGCCCCCCACACCTACCACAAAAGCCCCTTGGGGGATAGCTGCCCCCTCCCTTATATCACAGCACCCTCTTCAGGCTCTTGGACACAGAAGATTTGGTAATGATTTGAATTTCCTTGGAGAGATGAACAAAACCATTCTCCTTTGAGGGGTGAGAAAACACCTGCCTTCCCTCAAGGGAATCCTCTTTATCCTGAACCCCACCCTCCACCCCTTACCCCCCACCTCTGATTTCTCTGCTCAGAGTCCTTAGCAGAGGACTAGGGCACTCCAATGAGAAAACCTGTGGGTGTCAAGTCCAAGGGAGGATCTGAGACAGAACTGGACACTATCACCAGGCCCCATGCTGACCCCCTATGCTGACGTATGCTCCCTTTCTGCTGCTATAATCCTGGGGTGCAAACCCTCTTTTATGCTGAACATTCCCCTTACTAAATGCAGACCTTGGAATTTTCTCAGTGCTGGGAGCTATTTGTGTTCCTGGAACCTAAAATGCTTGGTCATGAGGGTGTGTGATTAAAGGGTTGGTGTTCAGTTTCCTGGCTTCACCCCGAGGGGAAGAGCTGGGCCGGACACTGACCTTGTCTTCCTGCACGTCCAGAGGGGCGCTCTCCAGCCAGTCTTCCAGGCAGACGCCCCTGCACCTCCAGCAGCTCCCTCTCAGCATCATCTTTGCTTCTTTCCTCAGAAGAGGCCTCCTTTGTTTCCTTTCAGCTGTGCACGGGGTCCCCCCCGTTTGTGGGAACCACCACCCCTGAGTCAGTGGAAATAGAACATGATGCGGATTTGCCTGAGTCGCCAAGTCCCTGCCGGGTCTGGCATCCTTCCTCGGGTTTGGTGGCCAGCTTCGGTGCCCAGCTCGCCGCTGTGACCTAAGCACTCCCAAGTGGGCTCTGTTTCTGGTTGCCCTTTGCCACACACAGTGTATTTCTTGAAACTGGAGTTAGCGATTTCACGTGTTGCCTAGCAACTGTACAACTGTTGTGCCTGCAGAGTGGGCATCCTAGGGGGTCTCTGAGCAGTGGACCCCCATAGCTGGCCCATCTGAGGCACGCCTGGCATGTCTGCTCTCTGCTTGGTCTCAGGATAGTGACTAACAACTTGTTAAGGACTCTACAGTTTAAACTTTGGAGCTAGACGTGGCCAACAAAATAACCTAGTCAAAGGCTTTTTCCATAATTATATTACAGCATTAGCAGAAAGCGTCTCTGGCTGAAATGAGGCCCCAGGGGTGGGGAGGAGAGAGAGTGGTCTGTCCTTCCTGCCCTCCATCTTGCCTTTTTTGAATTTCTCATCTCTAAGATGTCCTCGCTGAGTTTGGAAACCACAAAAGCAGTTTGGGGGCCTTCTTTCAGCTTCTTGTCAATCCTCTGCAGACTGTGGCTCCAGAAGACCTCGGTGGGGGAGTGTAATTGTTCTAGGCCTCTCTCAGTTGGCTGCTGTGCCTTGCACAGGTCCTTCAAGACCTCTGACCTCTTTTCTGGGCCCACATCTCTCTGTCTTTTCCTGTTCCTTGCCCAGAGTTTGGAAGAACTTTCTAGAAGAGGTTGGCTCTCAAGCAGCTCTATAACCCTAGCCCCTTATTTTGTCCATCAAATTGGCTAAATGCTCTCTCCAGCCAGGTCAGCCAAGGTGGGCTTTCTTCTTCAGGCATGAGTCCTAAAACATGACACCGTGACAGTGAGGTTGTTGACCAGAGTCTTACAGAGGGACTTCTCACTATTTCCTAATAAGTTTTCTTTTTTAAATGGTTTTTACAGAGCCTTACTGGAAGGTGAAAGTAACCCAAAGATACTGATCTTGAATGAGCGCCTTGAAAAGATACCACAAGGTAAATATAATGAAAGCGAATTATTTGACTTCAAGATGTTGTCCATATAAATGGGTCATTCTGTGGATAAATGATAAAGTGTCATTCATCTGGAAGAAGAGGGCTTAGTTACCATGTTTCAGATAACTGTCTTTCATCCCTCTTGTAAGCACCAGTTAGATTTGATTTCATGGGCCATGGTTTCAATAAAAGTGTAGGTGAGATTGGGGAGCTGCTTTGATAAACTTGTTTGTCCTTCTAGCTGATATTTGGGGGTGCTTCGTAGCTAAGTGGTGAAGTAGAAGGGGCTGAGCCTGGAAGTGTGAGAAGGCGGACATGAACTTGTCATCACACGCATTGGTGGGAAACCCCTTCGGAGGTATTGTTTGTACAGCAAATTGATTCCCTAGAACTTTCTGCCCCCGACCCCCGCCCCCACCGCCTCCAGAGGCAGAGGCAGGAGACATTACACCCTTTCTGCTACCTGAGGTTGGCATGGGCAGCTCAGGTTGATGTATGTGCAGGTGCCCTGGGGTCTGTCTTGGCCAAAAAGCCAAAGGTTGCAGGACAAAGCCCACCCTTCCTATAGCTGCAGAGCTGATATGAGTTAATGTCCATTAGGAAAACCCTGAGAACTTGTGAGGTGACTTTAAAAAAACTTTTAAAGCCTTTTAGAATCTTAAAGAGCTTTCTGGCTAAGCAAGCACAGCTTAAATTATGTCTAATATGCTTCATATATCCCTGACTCAGTGTGGTTTCAGTCCCCATGCCATATTCACAATCATGGCAAATTGGGAATAAGGGACTCGGAACCTGTGTCAGGAAAATATATAATGAACAGCCAATTTGGATTGATGGTAGGTTTAAAAAAAATAAAAACTTTTCCATCTTTATTTTTCAAAATCAACATTGTCCTGACTGGATATTTCACAGACTTGTCAGGTCACTGGGTTCAGAGCAGTGATTTTGGTTCTCATCATCTGTGACTAGAAGGGATTTGATCTCAGACAATGTCCAGCAACTTTGCTTTCTAATTTTGGGCATCAGACTGGAAAAGGCAAAGATGTCCATGGAAATGACTGTGAGCCAGTCTGCCTGGTATCAGTTAACAGAAGACAGTAAAAATAATTCATTTACTACATTTCAGGATTTATTTAGTCACTGAATTTTTAACATGTGGATCTCTAAGTCTGGACGTCCATTGCATAACAGAGAGAAGGAGACAGGAGAGAGAGGGCCAGTCTGGGAGGGCCAAGAGACTTAAGTCCAGGCTCACTGGTGAGTCTTTGCTCATTGTGATTTGGGAGTGGAGGAAGGGCTAATGAAGAGGGCTGCTGGGTATCTATAACATTCATTCATTCATTCATTCATTCACTGACTTTTCAAGCTTATTGAAGGATATAGAGATGGTATTTGTGGACTGAATTTACTTTAGCAATAACCTATTATGCTAAAAGAAAGAGTAAGGATTAGAATAGAGTGCTGGTTGTGAACTCTTACTAGACTTTGTGCTTCCACATATTTCTGTGTCTGTACAGTATAGGTGCCCATTAACTGGTCATTGAATAAAAGTACCATGTGTTCATGGGTTATGGATTTGTCAGTGCTCATTATTCACTATTCTTTTGTGATTTGAATAAAACAACATTGGCAGCTTGCCCATAGGCAGTAGGCCTAGTACCAGTCTGTGATTTTCATAATTATCCTTGAACTTACTTAAAAAAACCAGGTGGCTCCTGCACTGTTTCCTGGGGCTTCACCTTCAGGGACTTCTCAGTTTAGCATTAGTATGTTAACCTGAACAGGGCAATAGAGTGGGAAATGAGCTGGCCTGGTTTCTTATCTGTATCCTGGGGTCTGTCTGGAGAGGCCCCCTGGCCTTGGCCGCCATGAAGGAGACCCGGTGGGGAGAGAAGGATCTGCCTTGGCTCGGCCAGATGGAGAGTGGGGAGGTGGGGGGAGGGAGGCCACAGGATGGGCTTCCTGGCCCCTGTCTAACTGCCAGCTGCCTTTCCTAAGAGCAGGTGCCCTGGTGGAGTTCAGGTGCTCTGAGGTAGCGCTCTCTGCAGCTGGTCTAGAGCAAAGCAGGAAAACCCACGGGATTGATCATGGCATCAAAACAGATCACAGTGTTGGTGACTGGTTGGCTTCCTGCTCTGGCACCTTTTCAAATGAAAAGGTTTAAAGCACAAAATTAGGAGAAACCAGGAAACAAGTTGATTCTTCAAAACTTGGTCCAATGTGGAGATCAGGGCAAATAAGCACATTAATTGGTAGGGGGACTAATACCATTTGGTGTTTACTAATTATATATTTTGTAATGATGAAGCTCTTCTCTGCTGAAATAAGTAAAATAAACTTAACAAAGTAGCAGTGAATGATTCCAAAATATCATAATATTGTGAAACTTCAGCCATAAAAACTAGCACCCCTAACCTCCCTGGCACATATGCTCTGCTTTACAATCACACGTTTTGTATTTTTGTTAAGAAGGATGAATATTTTAAGACCAGCAACTGGAGAAAAGTGTTGTATGGAAGCATTTATAGTGCTAAATTTTTATTGTTACAAGATTTTTAAAACCGTTTAAGGTTAGGAAAAAACCTCATGTATAGTGACCTTTCTGTGGTGATTGTCTGCATTTATTATGATGAGATTTGCCCCACGAAGATGCTTTTAGGATGAAAAGAGGTGATGATCACTATCATTTTTTTTTTAAGATTTATTTATTTATTTATACAAGCAGTGGGTACAGTCAGAAGCACGGGAGGGTGAGAGAATTCACCAGAGCCAGAGGGGAGAGCAGAGCAGGCAGACTGATGAAACACACTGCTGAGGGGAGCAGCGGGCGGCAGGAGAGGTCTGCGCGCCATGTGGGACGCTCGCCCAGTGGCGGGGGATCGAACCAGCACTGCAGAGGCTGCGGGCAGCCTCGCAGCCCAGCGCTCAACCGCTGCGCCACCGGGGAGGCCCGATCACTATCATTTTGATGAACCGTTTGTTCTGTTTCTTCAGATTTCAGAAACACGTGCTATCATTACACCACCTCAGCATTACAGCGGGAGAATGAAAGAAATCTGTTTCTGAGGCAGAAAGCCCCTTCGTGGAGCTCCAGCCACGGCCTGTCCCTGCACTCTGGCCTGCCTCCGCGCCCCTGGCCATGCACTGCTGTTGGGGGTGCTGCCAGAAGAGGCCTCCGGGGCTCCAGTTATTCTTCTTTTGCCAACACCAGGTGGGAAAACGGGTATGAGACGAGCCTCCGGACTTTCCCTGCAGCCCCCAGTCATGGAAAACACACCGAAGCTCAAGTGAAAACATTCCCTGGTAGACCAAAAGCTAATGGCATAAAGGATGTCCCCACGAGGTTAGCCCCAGAGTCCACTGTCACCCAGGAGTCGCGCCGAGAACGCTGGGACAGTGTGGCCACAGGTGCTTCCGAGAGCACTAGGTCAAATGAGAGGACCATCATTTTGGGGAAGAAAATAGACGTTAAACCCACGAAGGAGAAAGAGAACAGCAGAGCAGGCACTGTCCAGACCAAGCGACCAGAGAAAATGTTTGACTCTAAAGAGAGGGCCTCAGAGGAGCGGAACTTAAGGTGGGAAGAGCTGACGAAGTTAGATAAAGAAGCCAGAGAGAGAGAAAGCCAGCAGATGAAGGAGAAGGAGAAAGAGAAGGAGCTCTTGAAGAAGAAAAGTGCGAGAGACAGAGACGTACCGATCAGTGTAGAAGTAGTCAAGGACGGCACGCCGGGGGCATCCCCGAAAGGTTTCCAGACACCCCCAAGGACGGCTGCTGGCCTTGGGCTGAGCGGAGGGGTGGGGACGAGGGAGACCAGGTTCAGGCCGCACTCCGGCGACACCACCAGTTCACCGACAGGTGACGCCGTGCCGGAAACGATAGCAGAAAACATCGTGTCCAGTGTCCTGAAGCACTTCGCCAAGTCCCCGGACAAAGAAGCCACGGCTGATTCCTTCCCAGACACCAAAGTCACTTTCGTGGACAGGAAAGAGATTCCTGGTGACGGGAAAACAAAGACCGAGATAGTAGTGGAGTCGAAACTGATCGAAGAGGTCGATGCTTCCGATGAAGCTGGCCTGGACTACCTTTTAAGAGAGGAGGTTAAGGACGTGGAGCTGAAAGGGAAATCAGCCGAGCAGATGATAGGAGACATCATCAACCTCGGCCTGAAGGGGAGAGAGGGGCGCGCCAAGGTGGTCAACGTAGAGATCATCGAGGAGCCTGTGAGCTACGTAGGTAGCGAGAAGACACAGGAGTTTTCGACCCCATTTAAAGTGGAGGAGGTGGATGATGTGTCTCCAGGCTCACGGGGGCTCGCTGAGGAGGAGAAAGGTTTTGGAAAAACATACGTCACCTTCTCAGGTAGTCAACATGAGAAGACCAGGCGGCCCCAGGAGAATGTAACTCACGTGGAGGAAGTGACAGAAGCAGGTGACTCGGAGGGAGAGCAGAGTTATTTTGTCTCGACTCCCGAAGAATACGCCGGAGGGCATGACCGAGACGGGGGCCCAGTGTACGGGCAGGTCCATGTTGAGGAAGAATCCACCATCAGGTACTCTTGGCAAGATGAAATCATGCCAGGCACGCGAAGGCGAATGAAGAGGGACAAAGCGTTGGGAGAGACGGTCGTCAAGCCAGCGGATATTGGAGAACCTTCTGTGGAGGCGGGTGTGGGTTCTACACACTGGAAGGAACAAGCTAGAAGTGGGGTGTTGCATGCTGAGCCCATCGTCATCGAGAAGGAAATCAAAATAGCACGTGGGTTCCACCCAGCCAGGAAGGGAGGCCACACGGAGCCCCGGCAGCAGGTGGTGGAGGTCATCGGGCAGCTGGAAGAAAACCTTCCCGAGCGCATGAAGACAGAGCTGTCCGCCCTCTCTGGAGAAGGTCAGGGGGGACCAGGAAGCGTTTCTGTGGATGTAAAGAAAGTCCAACCCCCTGGCGGCGGGTCCCTGACCTTGGTGGCTGAGGTCAACCTCTCGCAGACTGTGGATGCCGATCAGCTAGACCTGGAGAAGCTGAGCAAAGACGAAGCTGGGGAGATTGAGAAGGCCGTGGAGTCAGTGGTACGAGGCAGTTTGGCCAAGCGACACAGCACAGCGCCGGGGAGCCCAGAAACTGAGGAACAGGTCCCAGCTGCTGGCCTTCTCTTCAAGCGCTGGGCCACCCAGGAACTGTACACCCCCACCCATGAGGAGGGGGCTGCCGGCCGGGCCCCTCACAGCCCAGAGCGGGTCACTTCCCAGGGGCCTGTGTCGGCCACCATGGAGGTCACCGGCCCCCAGGGCTTTGGCCGGTCACTCGTACTAGAGGATGTGAGCAAGGCTGTAAGGCGCATTAAAGTAGGTCCCACTGGAACTTGGAGGACTGAGCAAGTCTCCCTGGAAGGACCCACCGCAGAGGTGGTGCAGGTAAGTGGGGAAGGCAGCCTAGGTCAGGCAGCGAGCTCGGCTGGGGCCAGCTGGTCTGTGAGGCACTTCACTGTGGGTCCCCAGCAGAGTCAAGTATCCAAAGAAGTCATTTTCCAAGGGCCCGGCCCTGCCTGTGAGCTGGCGGGGGCTGCACAGGAGTCTGGCCCAGCAGAGCTTCCCACAGATAGCGCCAGACCAGGGAGCCACGGGGCATTTGGCTCTGAACAGTTCCATGCTGAGAGGGAAGTCCCCTTTGAGGGCTCTGTTTCCACGGCAGGGGAGGCTGGTGATTCTTTTCAAACAGAAGAGGTGGTGGGTACCCAGACTTCTGTAAAGCATCTTCAGTTAGGCGCCAGGGCGGGGTTTGGTGAGCAAATCCAGTTCATAGTCCCCCTTTCAGACTCCATGAAACTGGATGTCACAGGAGATTCTGGACACACAGAAGGAGGGGCAGGGGATGGCACGGGCACCAGGCTTGTCAGACTCGGGCGTCAGACTCATCACACCGTCCAGCAGACAGTCACCGCATCGGGGGAATGGAGCGACTCAGAAAGCTGTGCCTGGCAAGAGGGCCCAGCAGACCGGAAGGGCCAGGCCCCCGGGAGCGCCAGCGAGGGTGGGGGAGCCCTGACAACTGAAGAGAGCACCTTTTATAGCGCTGTTTCTGAATCTCGCCAGGAGGCTGGTGTGGGAGGTGTGTCGGGGGCAGAGGTGACACCGGGTACGAGCAGGTCCTTCAGGCACATTCGTCTAGGTCCTGTGGAGACCCAGACCTCTGAGTATGTTGTCTTCCACGGCCCCATTTCTGAGACAAGCGCCCTTGCTGGCTCAGTGGGCTCCCCTGGGGGAGGAGAGTCGGGGGACAGCAGCAGCACCCTAAAGCCTGTTGCCCTGGGGCCCAAAGAAACTTCGTTTACCTTTCAGATGGACGTGAGTAACGTAGAGGCGTCCCCCAGATGGACACGAGAGACCACAGGCCTCTTCTCCGCAGGGGCGGGAGTGCAAGCTCGTACCGGGTCTGACCCTGGTGCCTGGAGAGACACTGGCCGTGGGAGCGACTGGGCAGCCGGTGGGGGCTTTCAGGCTGCTGCTGGGGACAGACACAAGGTCCCTGGGGAGGAGGGCAGGGAGTTTAATAAGACGGTTCAGCTACAGAGAATGGTAGACACAAGGTCAGTGATTTCGGATGAAAAGAAAGTGGCCCTCCTCTATCTAGACAGTCAGGAGGAGGAGGCTGAGAATGAGGGACACTGGTTTTGATAAATATTTTGTTTTAAATGGCATCTTATTTGGTGATAAGCCGATGCACAAAGGCCTTTACTTATTTGCAAGGGGGGACACTGACTCTTATTTTTCTCCAAGAGTGGTCCAGGAGTGTCAATTTACTTCATAATCTGTGAAGTTTTCAGGCTATCATGCCTTAAGAGGTGTTTGATTTTTTTTTTTTTTTTTTTGAGTTAGGACTTTTACAGAAATACTTTTTATCATTTTAGTCGTAAAAGTTTCTTTTTTTCCTGGAGTTTTCTCTCCACTTCGAGAGATGATTTGTTGCACCTGCCACAGATAGGCCTCCCATCAGTTTGAGATTCTAGTTAGCTACCTACCCATTGGTAAGAGGCCTTAAAGGTAACCAGGTTAAAGTAATATATTTAACAGTAATTTTATTGCATGAACTAACACAAATAGTAAACTAATTTTTTAAGGGGAAAATGCACACATTTCTCTCCCTCCAGTCTTTTTGAAAAGAAATTGTAGGAAATAAGCAGACTGCTTATGTTTAAGAAAATCTGCTAAGTGAGTTCATATTTAGGAAGAAGTTACTGGTCATAGAGTTAAATTCATTTTAAAACTTGAATGAATTGCTTTCTATGTGCAGGGCTTTTTAAAATGCAGTGTTTTACTTAGGGAGAGGACTGTTCTAGTTATGGCAATAGCTCAGACCAATACACCTGCTCCGTTTGCACAGGTTCTCAGAACTCTGCACTGAGTGTGTTACACGACTGAGAGTCGCTTCAGGATCCTTTTTGGTGGCAGTAGGCCATTCAGTAGCACACAGTCAATAATCTTTTGTTATAACCTGAGTTCTGGAGTAACCAGCTCCTATCAGAGAATGTTGTAGCTTCTCGGCACCTTGGTCCCAGCACCTGAATGTTTCACTTCACTGGAGGGTGGGGTTCCCCAGAGACAGAGGAGTGCTGAGGCTCAGCCTGCAGCAGGACCGGCAGGATGGCGAGGCGCAGCGGAATCAGGGGCAGAATGGGGGCTGTGCCTCCCCCGGCCGCCCTTCTCAACCCAGCGCCAGTGGAGTGGAGGTCTTTGTGATCTCCAGAGTGAGAGAGGAAGGGCAACGGCCAACCTCAAGGAAGTTTTTGCACTTTCAACGGGAATCATCATGTTTGGTCCAGAGGAGCGAATGTTACATAGAATAAGCTATCTGGGAAGGAACTGGGTACCTCTCCTGCTGTGCAGCACTTATGGAGCCAGAGGGGCCCAGGCGGAGGCCCCACTCTTGCAGGACTTGGAATGGGTCTGCATTGTAGGCCACCAAGTGTAAGATAGCAGAATGAGTGTGTTCTGCTGGATTCATTTTACCCCAGGGTTTTGTTTTTGAAGCGCTTGTCTTTAAAGGTGTAGCATCACATAAAAATAGTGTCTCGAGTAGCTCAGTATTATTTTAATCCAAATTAGTGTCTTTCACATAATGTTGTCTAGACCACTTCTGGCACTCACAGAACTGCCTTAGTGCACTGAGAGGTAAGGCCCAGGGGATGTCATCCTTGGGCAGGTTATGGTGATGGGGGTGAGTGTGGCATGTGAGGGTCATCCCTCTGGGTTTCACACTATGACCCCCTGGCCCTCAAGAAGCACGTCTCAGTGGCTCCCAGGAACGGCTGCAGCAGAACTTCGGGGAGAGAGCATGTTCTCCAGCGAACGGCGGATGAGCGATACAGCACAGCTTTCAGGACGATCTACTTTAAAAACACTGTGAATCAGGATGTAAGAGTTGATTTGAATTGCAAGTTTAAACCTTTGTTATCTGCCAGATGAACAAATGATTGTCACAAACTGGCAAGGAGGTGTGGGCCTGGCAAACAAAGACTTCTCATTTCCAATATGGCCAAGGATGAGCTGACTTGATGTATTACTGGTAATGGAATTTGTGTAAGGGATGCGTTGGTGAGGATTTGGGCAAGAGGACAGCCCACTGCTTGGATGGCAAGACAGACTGGTGATGATGGTGATGATGGGGGGGTGGGGCAGCCATAGTATTATGTGAGCCTAAGTGGATTTAGTTTGATGTCATTGTCCTTACTTGTGACTTTGTAAATGAGTGTTGCATAAACAGGAGGTTAAAACCTGGTCACCCACTTCTATTTTGGCAGTGAGTACCTTAGAGCTGAATTGTTATCTCCGTGTTGGAATGCACATAGTCAAGAGGTGTCCCGCCCAGAGTATTTACACCATGGAATCAGAAGCTGTGGTTGGTTACTAAGTCTGTGGACCACCCAGGAGCAGGGTGTGCCCTGGACACTTTGAAAAGTCACCCACAGCTCCATGGCCTTTAAAACTAGTCAGTTGGGAGACAACAGAAATCAACTAATGGTTGATAGGGTGAGGACACAACTGGTCTTTTCCTGTTTATTTTGTTCAGACAAAACTGTATTAATGGAATGTTTTTCACCTTCCACTGGTGGTTTGGATATTGTTTGTTTAAAATGTGTATTTAGATTGGGATCGTCTGAAAAGCAGATCTTATAAACCTGCTGTTCCCCCCACAAAGAGAAATGCCACAGAGTGAGTAAAAATAAAAGCATAAGAAAAAGAAATTGCTTGTTTCTAAGAGAAGGACTGTCTGCCAGATTGGTGTTTTTGTTGTTGTTTAATTGTCATCAAAGCACATCCGTGTTTACATGCATGCTTTTTATGGTGGCTCAGAACTGTTGTGGATAGGACAGATGCAAAGTTCCAGTTCTTTCATCCCTCACTTGAGTCAGAACTTGATAGCCTTCGCCCCAAACTGGAAAGCCTGGCAGACTGTGAAGAAGCCAGCGGGGGAGCTTTCACATCCAGACTGGTCAGCCTGAGAGGCTAGTTAGTGCTTGGAGGGGTAGGGGGTGGAGGTGCAACCATCCCGATGTCCCATCTCGCCTGGAACCGAGTTGTTTTCAGGGCCAGGATGGAGGCCTGGCCACGCCAGGATGGTGGGTCACCTTGTGTACAGTTTGGAAGCTTATTTTAATGGCCATTTCTAAGAGCTTGAAATGTGGTTGTTTGGGACAAAGGATCTCTAACCCATTTGTAACCTTTCACACACAAAACCCCCATGCATCCAAAGCTGTAGTCTTCTCTCAGGTCGGAAGTTTACACACACATCAGGTGGGAGACATTTGGTGGAACATCCTAAATTGGTTTTCTCCCAGGGTAGGGGCCAAATTTTTAAAGGGTTTCTGGGATTCCAACATAATACCCTCCAAGAAATCCAGAAGTCGAAAGGAAGAAGTCACAGGTCAAAATTCACTTTTCCTCCCCAAGACCAGCACGGACTCTCACGTTGCTATAATAGAAAACCATTGATGCAGGTTGAATAATGGGCCCCCATTGGTCATGGTTCTGGAGACACAGGCCCAAGATGAAGGTGCTGGCCCAGTCGGTGCCACGTGAGGGCGCTCTTCCCAGCTTGCAGAGGGCCGAAGCCTGCTGTGTCCCCTCCAGTGGTGGAGAGAAAGGTGCTCCCTGTCTCTTTTAACAAGGGCACGAATCCCATTCATCACGGGGCTCCACTGTCGTGACCTTATTGCCTCCCAAGGGCCCCACCTCCAGGTACTGTCTTCTTGGGGGTGGGGCTTCAACATAGAAATCCTGAGGGGTGCACACATTCAGCCCTTGGCTGACTCCAGTGTGGTGTATATTTAAAATGCTGGTGCCGTCATCCATGTGGAAACCTGTGAAGTCAGTGACATCCTCTTTGATGAGGCTTTCACCCCTCAGGCCTGGGGTCGGGGATGGGCTGTGTGGTCAGCTGTCACACTCTTGAGGACAAGGGACCATGTCTCTCCTCCCATCGTGAATGAAGCCAGAGTGGTGTGGGTTCTGCCTGGGTGGGAGGGGAAGGGTGCCCGGGCTGCCTCCTGCTGCCTCCCCGGCCATGTGTGTGGCTGAGAGGAGGGAGCAAGGGGAAGCCCCCGGATCTCACGGTTGACAGCACAGAGAAAGGTGCTCACAACTTCCCTTCCACTTGCTCCTTCTGGAACCACTGTGGCTTCCTCCAAAGGGACTGAAAACCTCAGTAGACACGAGTGCTCACCCCATCTCCACCCCCACATGCTCAATCCAGGAACACGGGGTTGGGGTGGGCGGGGTTGGGGGGTGTGAGGCTAAGGCCTGTGTCGGCTCAAAAAACCCCAGAGAGGCAGCACTTTCCTGCTGCCTAGGGTGGAGGCCACAGGGGCAGCAGCAGGGAGTCAGCGCCTCCTCTACGCCGCGGCCTCACCTCTGCTCATCCCTCTCCACTCCTTGCACCTGCCTCCCCTGACCTCCAGGCCGCATCAGGTCCACTTGCCACCTGCCCCCCTGGACCGGATGCTTTCCCTCTGCTGCAATGGCAGCCCCTCCCCAGGCTCCCGGAACTCTGAGGCGTGCTTCATTTTCAAACACATACTGAGCCCAGGACTTTCAAATTTCCTTTTATTAGCATTTTATCCTCAATCTTTTATTACTATTCTGTAATAAAGGGCTCCCCACTCCCCAACTGCATTGCTCCAAATCCGAGTGCAGGCCTGTGTGAGGCCTGCCTGCCCAGTCAGAAGTTGAATCCATTTTCCTGCACAAGAAGTTTAGAGCTTTGGAAGAAAAGCCTTTGAGACAAAGAAATGCTGATGGGTAAATGTTTTTGCTGGCAAGAAGAACCACTCAGGTGGTAAAGAGAAAAGTGCTTTATAAAAGCACCAGCTCAACCTGCAGGCATCCACTGGCAAAGTGTGGCTGGGGTAGGGGGTTATGGGATGGGTCACTGGCATTGGGAGGGAGCACCCAGACAAGGACTGCTGAAGGCTTGTTGGAGAGTGATGACCACAGCACCCAGATGGCAGCTCCCAGGCACGACCAGTGCTTGCTCTGGGGGCCAGGCCTCAGTCGGCCACGTTAGGCCTGGCCTTCCCCAGTGCTGTGTGGTGGGCCACGCTGGCACAGAAGGCTGGCTTGACTTTCGGGGTCTGCCTCGACTTCATGGCCACCTCAGGGGCTCTGCAAACAAGCAGAGGGTGGGTGATGAGATGCCCCTCAGGCCGGCACACTGTTTACCCCCACGCTTGGCTGCTGTGACGACCAGCCTAGCAGGTGCTGAAGACATTTCATGTAGGAGCCTCAGGAGGGAATGTAGATGAGAGGAGAATTGTGGCAAAGAACATCAAACACAAGACTTTTTTCCTGCTTTCTCACTCCCTGGGACCATCCTCCCAGAGCTGAGACAATCCATGCTTAGCTGGCTCAGGGAGCAAAACACCAGCAGAAAGGTGGGCTGGGACCTGGTTGACTTTTAGTCTTTGTGCTGAAAAGCCTGGGCCCTGAGTCAGTGCCCCCTGCCGGCAGTATCTGCAGCGTTTTCATGAGCATCGACTTGGCAGTCAACTGCCAAGTGGCCTCAGCTCAGTGACTGAGAAAAGATGTGGGACCAGCTTTCAAGGAGAAGTCTGGGGGCCAGTGGCTCCTATCCCCTGGGTACCCCAAAAGCAAAGGGAAGCCTTTTCAACAGTGAGGACCTGCCAGGGACCAGTGTACGGGAAGACTGATCCCATCCCATGTTTCTGACATTCATTCAAGAGCTAATTTCTCCTTAATATTTGGGCATGGAAGATAATTACAACTGGATTTTCAAAGGAGAACTGTTTCTGCATAGTTTATGAGTTATGGGAAGTCAGTTGCTAAAACTTTCCACGGAGAGTTCCACAGAACCTTAAAGAACCAGCTTCCTCTGAGTCTGCATGGCCAAGGAACGAGACACTCAGAGAAGTGGTGCGAGGGAGAGCCAAGCCAACTCACTTGGACAGCGCGTTCACGGCCTGCTGGGTGGCCACCGTCCTCTTGTCCTGCGGTCCATAGAGGAGGGCTTGAATCTGAAGACACTGCAGAACACCAAGTGGGAATTGTGGGGTCACAAAGGTTGCTGAGAGCATTTTGCAGGAAAAGCAGGAATTAGAGAAAGAGGACTTCACAGACCCCTGCTGTGAGGGAACCAGTGTGCACTCTTGGGGTTCCTCCCAGGAACAATTTGGGTGGTCCAAGGCATCCAGGAAACAAATGTACACGTCTAGCACTATTTTATAGAACTCTCTGTGCCTACTTCTATGCAAAAAAAAAAAAAAAAAAAAGGCTTTAAGTCGTCATTTTTAAAAATAAATGCAGTATCCATTTAAGCTCCAGTTTCCATTTTTAAATGACCCCTTTAACAACCCAGGGGAGTTCCTTTTAGTGGTAGTTTTGCTTTCTTGTAAACACTTTATCTTATATGGGCTTTCACTACAGAAGACAACACTGTTTGATATCATTACTACACACTGATTTCTTAGGAATGAATTTTTTTAGTATTTAAAATATTCAGCTTCATTTCCTTTTACTGTTTATTGTCTTACTGTTTGATTGCTTATCCCGGGTCAGCGCAAACTCAAGGAAAGGTTAAAGATTAAAACTGTGCTGCAGAGGGCCAAGATGATTTTGAAGAAGAATGAGGTGGACACATTTAATAAGACTATAATAATCAAGACAGCGTGGTTTTCATCCAAGGGAGGGATGGACAAGCAGACCAATAGACCAATGGAATGTGGCAGGGCCCACTCCTTGACAGATTAATAAGTGGCCTTGAAGGGGCTATGAGGAGGAGCAGATCTGGTCAGTAAGGGGAACGGCGGCCACCAGTTTTCCAAATGGAAGAAAACGCATCCCTGCCCCACACCCAATACAAAATTCAGAAGAACTAAAGGTACAAAAGCAAAGTTTGAAACTTTTAGGTGAAAATAATGGAGAACATCTTTATGATGCAGAGGTAGGGAAGTAGTTCTTAGATAAGATCCAGACAAACCCAACATCAAAGACTGATAAAATTAAACATCTAAAAACAACTGTGTACCAAAACCAAAGTACAAACACAAACCAAACGGAAGGAAAACATTTGCACAAGACAGAGGAGGGATTAGAATTCAGAATACATAAAGAACTCTTAGAAGATAGTGAGAAAAATAAAAACCACCTCCCAATAAAGAAAATCGTCCAAATATAAAGACAGATTAGTCAAAGAAGTTGAAAACAGGCAACCACAAATGTCCCCTTACCTATCAAACTGCAAAACATTGTCTTCTGATAATGGTGACCTCAAGCTTTGTCAAATACGAAGCAGCAGGACTATTTTTTTTACTATATTGATAGTGGTGGTAACATTGGCATAGCCACTTCGTAGAACAATTTCACAGCAGTTGGTAATGGAGAGTAAATGATGAGCGACCTATGTATGACGCCATATATATAGTCATACAAATGTTGGATGTGTGTTTAGATGAATTTCACAATTGAGAGTAGAGCAGGGGCCTCCCTGGTGGTGCAAGGGGTTAAGACGCAACCTATGAGGCTGTCTGTGGCCACTGCAGTAAGAATTAGATCCCCGGCCAGGGAGCCACTGACATGGCCCAGCAGACCTCTCCTGTCTCGCCCGCTGCTCCCCTCAGCAGTGTATTTCAGTCATTTTGCCTGTTCTGCTCCCCACTCTGGTGAATCCTCTTACCCCCGCAACTCTGGTCTGTACCCCAGTTCTTGTGTGCATAAATAAATAAATCTTTAAAAAAAAAAAAGAAAGTAGAGCAGAAAAAGCAAACTGGAGAGAAATGCTTGAGATGTGTTTATATATAGTCATATATGTGTAATTTAGATGAAGATTAAGAACATGTAAAACAAAGCCAAAGTAAAATAATAAAACATGGGAATGACAGCAAATTGGGGGAGTTGTTACCTGGGGGTAGGGTGGTTCACGACTGTATGGGTCAAGCTTTATTTCTTATGTTGAAGAGTGAGCTCAGGGGTGTTTGTTATCTTATGTATACTCCTGCATATATGAAATATTTCATAATCGTTTTAACAGATTGAATTAGTTTTTCTACCTAGCACAGCACAGCTTGAGTCAAAATTAGTGTGAGGGCTTGAGATACTGAAGACCTGAGGCGACCTGATTTATCAGGTGTCTTCAGGCCTTGGAGGAAATTAAAACGCAAGCAGCCAAACCGCTCTGTCTTTTATACACTGTGGAAAATATCCAAACCATCTGAATGTTTGGTTCAATCAGAGGAATTAGAATGTGGCTCTAGAACCTGAGAATGGGGTTGTCTTTTGGAGAGAAGAAGTAAAGTTGGATGAAAATATGACAACATAATCTAAAATTACAGAAAATAGTCACTATTTCTTAGCTGAAGTATATAACACCAAGAACCAGTAAGCTGCTTCTGTCATTCTATTTATACTACAACCCTGATTATTCTGCAAAGGCAAGCCTCCCAGCCCCCCAGCCAGCTTTTCTGAATCTCAGTGAGGGCCTGACCTGGCCTAGAAGCCAGTGCTGCTCCTTCCGGAGCGGGGAGGTGGGGTGCGGGTGGTGAGCCAGCATTGCTTTCATCCACAGACTAAATCGATGGCTGTGACCTTGGGAACGTAGCAACCTTGAGAGAGTTCTGTGTTGCTTTGAAGGAGAAGAGATGGCAACTCGTTCTGACACCCATGACACTTAGGTAAACTCTCCCCCTACTCCTGCTTGGTTTACAGCCATTCCGAGTCTGGAGGTGGTAGAGCTTACCCCACACGGGGCGGGCGGCAGAGGAGGCACAGAAAGAACAGCAAGCAAGAAGCAGGCAGGTTTCCCTTCACTCCCTGCCAGTCAGAGAGAGGCCTCTCTCCAGGGCTAACACTTTTTGCCAGAACAGACTTCATTTTCTCCTACGTGGCCAGAAATACCTCCACTCTGTGGAAAAGATCAGGTCTAATTTTAAATCCACCCGACTTCCCTGTTTACATATTTATGAGTGCCTCCGATGCAGCTCATGTGGAGACAGCTGATGTCGACCTGCCTTAGTGCTAATTCATTCACTGTGGCATTAGAGTCTCGGTGACATTCTAACGATTATTGGAGACAGTCTGAGGTCTCAGTTCAGCCTGTCTTAACAGATGGCCTCCAAAATCTAAAACTCGGAGGAATTTCCCTCCTATCCCTTTGGATATCAAAACTGTTTCTCGCTGGCCCCCTATTCTCTCAGCAAAGAGATACCTTTAGCTGAATAGTCACAGATTCCTGGGATAGTGCTTACATGAATTCTCACCAGCTCTACTAACCACCTCCATTCAAGATCTTATGTGCTGGTATTTCACTGGGGTGTGATGACTAAGAGACCGTGGAGGGACCATAGCTTGCAGTTGGGTCAAGGGACCCTTTTCAACAAAATCAAGCCCAGAGAGAGGTGAGCCTCATCCCCATCCTACCCCCTGAGCTCCAGAGTCAAGACTTTTCCTGGTAGTGATAGAATTTGTTAGGTTACTTATCTTCATTCAGGAGATTTAACCAAAATTCTACCTGAAGTGAGGAGCTATGCAATGGGGTGTTCTCTAGGAGATCCTCAGGTCCCATCCCAGAGGGCTGAAGACAGTGCCAGGGCGGCAAGACCAAGCCACCCGGACAGGAAATAATCAGGAAAATAATGGTTTCTCCCTTAACTGCACTAGTCTCCAGAAGTATCTTTTTTTAAAAAATAGTGAAATCATCCATTACTGACTTTTACGAGAAAATGTTTTACATAGCTGCATATTTATCTAAGAAACAAACTGAACTTTTCAATGTTCTGCAGCTCTTAGCTAAGTTTACTTCAGCATTTTCCTGTGAAGTCAGTATCTGATGCTTTTGTTCAACGTACAGACTTGGGCAGAAACTGATCAGTAGAGGCTCACGGGACCTACTGGGGGGCAGGCATTGCTAACATCCCACTGAGCCAAGCAGACAACTTCCCAAATCTTGACAGTAGAACATTCTCCACCATAAATAAAGGTGTGCTATGTTTGACATCCGCCTCCAAAGAGTGTTTCTCACATTAGGCAAAAAAACAAAAAAGCAAACAAAAAGCCCTTGAGATTTCAGGCACGCAGAAGAATTTTAGGGAGCCATTATTCTGTTTGATTTTATCTGCAGCGGTTGTGAGAAGCCACTTGTGTCCCTAGTATTCCTTAAACACTGAGCAGGGAGCCTTCCTCCCCAGGGAGCACCTGCTCTCACACCACCTGCAAGCTGTCCCCGGTGTCTCAAGGTCTCACCCACCCTCACCACTCTAGTAGATGAAATTTTTGCTCAATGAATGATTAAGTGACTGGACAGATAAACTGAGCAAATTCTGATTTAAGTTTTGACAGTCAGGAGCCTCACTCCTCACCTCTGCGTTGTCACGTGTCGTGGGTTCTATGTCCTTATCGACATCCCTCGACTCCCCCACGACTCTGCTCCAGCCCCTGGCCACTGTCTTGGAACAAGCTACCATCACCTTTCTCCAGGACAACTGCAACACAAATGTTTAGAAAACACGCGCATCAGCAGGACTCTCCAGTGTAGGGAATTGCGCTGCGTTCCCACGTGGACACGGAGGAAGGCTTCGTTCTACAGCGGACAGTCGGCTCTTGGGACAAAAGTGGGACTGCCCTTCTCTGAGGCAACACAGTGAGGATGCAGCCCCTCTTAAAGCTAAGCCTTTTTTTTTTTTTTTAAAGATTTATTTATTTTTATACAAGAGCTGGGGTACAGGCCAGAGGCGCGGGAGGGTGAGAGGATTCACCACAGAGTGGGGAGCAGAACAGGCAGATTGACTGAAATGCACTGCTGAGGGGAGCAGCAGGCGAGGTAGGAGAGGTCTGCTGTGCCATGTGGACATCTCCCTGGCCATCCAGGAATCGAACCCACGCTGCAGAGGCTGCAGGACAGCTTCACAGTGCAGCACTCAATCTGCTGTGCCACCGGGGAGGCCCCAAGCTAAGCCTTTTGATCTGCCTTTTCCAGGCAGGGCTCTCTCTCGAGGTGGAGTCGAGCATTTTGCGGAGTCCTTCCTGAGTTGGGTGGGGGGGGTAGCGGGGAGCTGGTGGTGGTGCTCCTGACCCTCATTGTTGCCACCTGTTAATGTTACACTGCATCTATGTGGGAGATGTCCTCCTACCACCCACTCCAGGCTCTGCCCCCAGCACCGAGGCTCCGAACCAGTCCTGGGCAGTCTTTGGACAGGACAGTCTGACAAACCCTGCACAGTTCAGTGCCCTCCAGATCTCAATGCCAATTTAGGACCTTCTAAGGCAGGTGTGTTCACCAGGCCACAGGAGGAACTTTTCAGAGCAAATGCAGCCTTGTCCTGGGGCAATCTGGCACACTACCCACCTGTGTTTTCTAAAGGACAGTGAAGGTGGAGGGGGCAGTGCCTGGGCCGCCTCTCACCCCGAGGGGAGTAACTGTTCCTGGCAGCTGTCGGTGCCAGGGTGGCTCAAGGCCTGGGACCAGTCCGCGGCAAGTGAGGGAGGCTCCCCAGTTTCCCCATGGAAGGTCATGGGTGACCTCGAGCCCTCTAGCCATCAGCTCTCATTCTTATACTACATCAGTGGATTAACACACCTCAAGGAGCGCTCCAAGCACCTCTAGGCACACAGCTCAACCCAAACACAGGCCCTTGAGAAGAAGGTAACATCATCATGACCTTCCTCAAGGGTAAGGGAGACTGCCTTTGGAAACAGTGTGAGCTAACAGGGGGGCTCCCTGGGGATTTCACACCGGACAGGATTTCCTGGTATCCAGGGCAACAGAGAAGACGCCACAATGCCACAGAGGCTAAAGGGAAAGTAAAACTACAAGGGCCACCAATGGAATGATGGGACACCAACTGAACATGAGATACAGCATCTGTAGGAGCCTCTGTGTCTGGCCTGCTGGAGAGCTGGCTGGAAGAGGAAGGACCTCCAGGCGGTTTTCGAGCCTTAGCCCAGCGGGGACCACACAAGAAACAACCCCCTGCCCCCCCAGCCCTCTGGGTTGGCTTTCTCACCTGCAATCTATGAATAAAAACTATTTTCCATCACCTTTCTTCAAGTGATTCATGCTAATGGGCTTTGGGTTTCTTAGAGAAAGAGGTGACATGCATTTTATTATTCCTTTATAGAAAGGTTTCCTGTTGGAAGCTGCAAAGTAAGCAGAGGGCTGAATTCTGAGAGCAGGGACGCCAGATTAAGAGGAGGATCCTCACCCGACCTCACACTGCTCCTGGGCTCTGGCTACTCCTGAATGCCGCTGACCCAGGACAGTGCCATCATGGATTCCTGCTCAGCCTTTCACCTGCACTCAATCGCTGGCCGTGCCTCCCTCTCTAGAATCAAACCAGGTCTCTACGTTGCAGAAACGTGAACTTCTACTGTGGAAATTTCCATCGGAAGCCAACAGCGGTCTCCAGTTATTCCCTCCAGGCAGATGCCTTTGAAAGGCACACTCAATAATATAGTTTCTTTCCAGTAATTTAATCCCGCTGTCTGCTCTGTTGCCTGCAGCTTCCTGTTTTTCAGGCCTGCAGAACCGTGCGGAGACATTCAGTGGAGAAAGGCACATCTGGGAAAGCCAGTGTTCCAGAGCTCCTGCGCTCGAGTGAAAACCTGGGGGCGCAGCTGCTGTTGTGATAAAAACAAAAGAAACACCCGGCGACACCGTGAGGAAGTCCAGTTCGGCAGCAGATGCAAAAGGCATGTTTGAGGCCATGTGTGCCCTGTGCTGAGGGAGCGGCCTGCATGGTCCTGAGGGAACATGAGCTGTGGACGTGACACAGCCTGTCCCATCATGGACACAGTTGACACAATGCAGCTTTTTCCTCTCTCATTCTGGCAAATGACCAGAGAGCTTGAAATGTCAAAGCCATTGTTTCAGGACTGATGGTTAATCAGGCCAAAGGAAAGCAACAAAATGTCACCAACTTCCACTCAGGCTTTAGGGGCGATGAAAATTGAGTTTCTTAAAGCTGAGCTACTTTTCAGCCCCTCAGGTGGATACAGAAGAGTGATTTGGAACCTTGCCCTCCATGCCTCCCACCTCACCCAATGCTAAATACAGATTCCCACTCCAGACACTGGTTAAGGGGTTTAAGACCCACACTTGATGGTGAGCTTTACTTAGAGTAACCTGTCCCTAGAGAATTTAATTTCTTGTAGCCTCAAGCCCTTTGCCTGTAAAGCAGAGCTAGGCAGGGCTGACAGGCAGGGTTCTGAGAGGGCTAGGGATAGGGGACGAGCCTGGCCTGATGCGTGTTCCCACTGAATCCACCACCGCCAGCAGGGCCTCCTGACAGCTTGTGTGGCCCTAGTTCAAGCTCCCTGTGCATCTGCTAACACTTGCCTCCCTCCCCATAGTGTTCCTCATCTGCCTGGAGTTGTGTGGCTCAAAAAGTAAGAGTTTTCCAGACTTCATCTGGAGGCTGAAATGGGGACAGGGAAGTAAAGAGGCTCTCCAGTGGCGGGGTGTGCACGGCTGGGCAGCACCAGCTAATCGCAGCAGCTCACTCACCTGCTTCCGCCTCACCTCAGGGCAAACGTGGGGAGGGTGAGGAGGTTGGTGGGCTCAGGGGTTGCTGTTATCTCCCTTTACAGAGAAGAAAACTGAAGCCTCTCACCTCAATTCTTGGGGCATTCCCTTCCCTTATCTACAAGATCCTCAGAGTGATTTTTTTTTTTTTTTTAAAATCCTAAGTGCAAATGTAGATTCCTGTCTGCTTTCAATTCCCTCAATAGCTCCCACCTGTGTAGAGCAAGGTTCAGAAAACTTTGTCTGCAAAGGGCGAGGTGGTAAATATTGGAGGCTTTGCAGGCCAAGAGACAAAACTGGAGGCTATTGCATAGGTACCTATGTAAGAAGAGAAAACGAATTCCCATGAACTTTTATCAATGAAATTCAAAATATATTAATAATAATGATCATACAGGGGTTTTTTTTTTTTTTTTTTTTTTTTTTTTTGATAATCTTGTACCTACCAATGAAAAGAGAAGATTTTTTTTTTTTTGACGGGGATAACATTTCACTTAGTTGGGGTTCAAAGTTAGTGTTCCCTACCTATTAACTCAATTTATGATCAGCTTGTAAAGTAATTACAGACTGATCATTTGTAAAGATCATTTTTTACTCACTGGCCTTTCAAAAACAGGTAGTGTGGACTAATTTTGGCCTTCAGGCAATTATTTGGGACCTTTCATTACAGGATCAAGCCTCAGCCCTTAACCTGGCCAATAGGAACAAGGATCTCTCCCATGTTTTTCTCAGCTGCTCCCCCTAAAGACCACCAGCCCTAACTACTTTATTTATGTTTCTTAATAGGCTTCAAGGCCATGTAATTCTGTCCTTCCCCTTTTCAGGATCACTTATCTATATACTTTCCCTTAACCCCTTTTCTCCCATAGAGCCTGGGACGGACCTGCTGTACAGAACTTGGCACACTGCATCACAGTTTAATGCCCTCGCTGGCCCAAGCGCCCTTCAGAGAATGGATGGCCTCACGCTGGCTGTCCTCATGCTGTGCTCCAAACTAGGGAGCAGGCTCGAGTGACCCTGTCCCAAGTCTTTTGACTTTGGGACAGAGTTTCCTGCACCAACCCTACCTAGCCACCTCGGAAACCCCGTGTTCTCACTCCTGACCACACCACTACCACAGCCTCAGTGGGCACCAGGTTCAAGCCAGGCCTCTCAGTCTTTCCCTCAGATTATTCAAGCTGTGACTGAAAAACGGTTGGGCACAGGAGGCGAAAGAATGTAGCATCACCATGAGGGATGAGATGTTGAGAGAAGCAGGAAAGAGGCCTGAAAGCCACCAGCTGCACTAGGTTCTGGCTTGGGCATTTTCTCCTGAGGCTCAGTTGTGTGTCTCTGTCCTGCTAATCACTTGCCTGTTGGCCCTCCTGGAAAACCACAACACAGTAGATGCCTCTTCATATCTGAGCTAGTTGAGCTGTACTCTGTCAGTGGCAACCCGGACTCCTACTAACCTGGTCTTGGCATTCTCCCCACTGTTTCTAAATGTTTCTAAGCATAGGAAGCCCTTGCTCAAACAAAAATCTCACTTGGAAGCCCAGGAGGTAAAATAGATGAGGCGTAGAATAGACAGCACAATATGGTGCGTGTGGTACTAGCCCCCAACTCAGACAAAGCTCTTAGCTTTGCAATCAAGGCTGAGATGCTCATCATCTCAGCCCCACCTTCCCTCTTTGTAAAAGAGAGAATAGAGGTATCTAACTCTTAGGGTTGAGGTTGGATTTAAACAAGGTAAATATCTGTTCATGTGAAAATCTCTTGATATAATGCCAGAGATATAACTACCATTCAATAAACATTAGGTATTACATTATTGTGGGTGGTGGAAAAACAGAGCAACTGCCTTCCTCAGTCTCCCTCACCATAATGTCTTTGGGATATGTGAAATATTTAAATGACCTTTAATTACTGATTTAATATATTTCTTCCTCACTGGACCTGAAAGTCTCATCAAACAAGCAGCATACTGGCCTTGGTAATAGTTTTTTCCCCAGGTCTGTCCAGCATAGTGACCCAAAGAAGGTGCCCCATAACTATTTGTTGAGTAACTGATAATAGATATAAGTATGTTATCTTATTAAAAAACAGGCATTGCATCTATTGCCAACGTGGGACCTATGTTAGTAGAATCAAAAAAGTGTGAGAAGAAAAAAAGGCTTACTTTGAGGACAGCCCTCTATGAAGTATAGTTACTTTTTTTGGTTTGATCAGTTATCTTACTTAGAAGTTCCCAGGTTCCCCCCATTTTTAATACCAATTAATGTGAAGAAAACACAACATGACAGAACTTATAAGATACATTTAAAGCAGTAGTAAGGGAAATTCATAGGCTAAAACACATACCAATAAATGGAAGGAAATTAATTAAATTTCCAATGCAGAAGACAGAAAATAACTCAAAAAAGTCAGAAAAATGAGTTACAAGCAAGAAAAAACTAAAGATAAAACCAGAAATTAATGAAATAGAGAATAGGAAGACCGATACAATTAAAATTCTATTTGTTTGAAAAATGAACCAAAAAGACAATCCACTAACTCATTCAAGAAAAAAGTGATAAAATCCAAATATAAATCAAAGAAATTACAATAGGAAAATAGCTATTAAAAAGGTAGAAATTTAAAAAATTCATGAAACTACTTTGTGAAAATCTATGCAAAGAAACATGAAAACATAAATTACCCAGAAAAATAACTGAAGCTTTAGGGACAGAAAGCTTCAACAGACTAAATTTTTGTAGAAGAAATAGAGAAAATTATCAAAAAGTTTCTCCAAGGCCTAAAGAGTTCTCAAGAAGTATAAACTTCAAAGACTAGATAGTTTTTTTAATGATGTACAAATTCCTTTGGTAAATGTCCAAATTATTTTGATGAAGCAAATATCACACTGATACTTAAATATTGCTTATAAATATTTCTGCAAAAATCATAAATATTAGCTAACAGAATCAACATCATATTAAGAATACAATTTGATATGACCAAGGGGATTTATTTCAGGAATGCAAGGTTGGTTCAATATTATAACAAAGTACACCAAATTAAATAATATAAGAAGTATGATATGATTATTTCCACTGATGCTAAAATAACCTTTGATAAAATATAATACTTATTTTTAATAAAAAGTACTCATAAAAATAGAAATTGATGAATACTTCCTTAACATAATAGTGTGTGTGTGTGTGTGTGTGTGTGTGTGTGTGTGTATGGCCAGTATCTACTAAATGAAAAAAACACTAGGGCCATTTCCACTAATATCAGGAACAAGGAAAGGATGCCCATTATCACTACTGCTATTTATTACTGTGTTGGAGGTATAACCAATGCAATTAGACCAGGGAAATCAATTAGAGGCATAAGAACTGGAAAACAAAAAGTAAAACTACTTGCAGAAAACCTGAGAGAATAAATGCTAAAATTAACTCATTAAGAAAACCAACTAGAATATAAAATTAATATAGAGAAAATAGTCTTTCTATACACAAAAATAACTAGTCAAAAGATTTAGTGATAAAACTCCATTTATAACAGCATCAACGAAGGCAAAAATACTTAGAAATCAACTTCAGAAGTATTCAAAACCAACATAAGGAACACTTTAAAATGTGCCTGAATGATACAAAAGCAGACATGAACAAATATAAAGATATCCTTTGTTTTGGTGTAGAATGGCTTAAAATCATCAAGTTGTCAGGTCCCCTGAAGTTGATTTACAAATAACATAATGCTCAAAAAAACCCACCAAACTTTTTATGTGGTTAGACAAGTTAAAACTAAAACTCATTTTGAAAACAAACATGCAAGAATATATAGAAAACCTGATATCCTTAGGGGAGAAAAACCAAGCGGATCTTGTCCTACTAGATATGAAATCATGCTATGAAGTCTCTAAAATTAAGACAGCAAGTACTGGGATTTGGATAAAGAAGGGAGATCAGTGGAACAGAAATCCAGAAATAGGGCCAAGTACATATGGAAATGCAGTATATGATAAAAGAGTGATCTCACATCACTGAAGTATATGTGGGTTCTTTAATAAAATGGCACTGGACACGTAGGTGGTCACTTGGAAAAAAAGATAACATTAGGTTCATACCTCATATCATCCACACAAATAAAACCTAAATCTAAAAAGAAATACAAGTACTAGGAGAAAACAGAATTCTTCTATAAACGAGGTATACAGAGTCTAGTAGAGTAAGAAATTGATAAATTACACTGTAAAAATTAAAAATTATTTCCATGGTAAAGACACGGATAATTCATTTAAAAACAGTGTGTAAAAGAGGATTACTGGGTTTCCCTGGTGTCACAACGGGTTAAGTCTCAGCACCATCAAGCTATAGCCAGCCACTGCTGCATGATTCGATTCCCAGCCAGGGAGCTACACACATGGTGCTGCAGACCTCTCCTGACTCACCTGCTGCTCCCCTCAGTAGTGCATTTCAGTTGATCCGCCCGTTCTGCTCCCTACCCTGTCTCTGGTGAATCCTCTCACCCCCTGAGCCTCTGACCTACACCCCATTCTTGTATGCATAAATAAATAAAAATAAACCTTAAAAAAAATTACTATTTCTTTTACCCCCAAATTGTTCATTTAGTTCAACTGCAAAAGTGATTATCTTACCTAAATAAACCGCTTACTAAATTTCATTTAAAGAGCACAGTGGCAGGAGGAAGTGACTGTGGGTAGCAGGGCTATCCCCACTATTAGTGCCATTCCAGCTTTACCTTCTTCAGTTTCTTGTGGGCCCCAACGTGGTTCCTCTGCGCCAGGTCAGCTGCACTCAGGAGTCGGTATGTCTCTGCCACCTCAGAACTGAGATCCCCAAACACTCCCATTTTGGCTTCCAGGGACTCTTTTAAGATGGAAGTTGCTCTCTGTGAAAGGCACAAAAAGCGGTTCAGTTAAAAAGTTCAAAGGCGGATAAAAAGCAATGCTTCTTAAAGAAAAATGATGCAATGATGAGTATTTTCCCTTTTTAGAGGAATGGATTTGGATAGAGCGTCTCATGAGCCGAACCTACTTTCCTCCAGTTGAACAGGAGACAGGAGTAACAAGGAAGCCTGAACTGTGAAGGCACATGTGTAAATGACACCTGGAGAAAAAGCCACTTCAACTGTTACAGGAATCTGTTTTAGTTGAGCAAAGACAAAAGCTAACACACAAGGTGTCCTTGGTGTGTCAAGGGCTGCGCTAAGCAATTTGCACGTGAGCTCATTTAAGTCTGTCTCCTTTAGAGAAACGCAATTTTATTTTATTTTTTAAAACAGGTTTATTTATGGGCCTCCCCTGGTGGCACAGCGGTTGAGCGCTGGGTTGCGAAGCTGCCCGCAGCCTCTGCAGCACTGGTTCCATCCCTGGCCAACGGCGAGGGTCCCACATGGCACAACAGACCTCTCCTGCTGCGCCCACTGCTCCCCTCAGCAGTGTACTTCGTCAGTCTGCCTGTTCTGTTCCCCGCTCTGGCTCTGGTGAATCCTCTCACCCTCCCATGCTTCTGACTGTGCCCAGTGCTTGTATAAATAAATAAATCTTAAAAAAAAAAAAGATTTATTTATTTTTGCATACAAGAACTGGGGTACAGGTCAGAGGTGCGGTGGGTGAGAAGGTTCACCAGAGACAGAGTGGGGAACAGAACAGGCAGACTGACTGAAATACACTGCTGAGGGGAGCAGCAGACAAGGCCGGAGAGGTCTGCTGCACCATGTGGGTAGCTCCCTGGCGGGCCAGGGATTGAACTTGTGCTACAGAGGCTGTGGACAGCTTCACAGTGTGGTGCTTAACCCCTTGCGCCACCGGGAAGACCCGAGAAACACAATTTTAATCCTAATTTGACGAAAGAGGAAACAGGCCCAGAGCAGTCAAGAAACTTGCTGAGACAGACAGCTCACCAGTGGCAGAGCTGGGACCTGAATCCCGCCGTTAATTTCAATCCCTCCCTGCACAGTGACAGTCATACCAGAGTGAAAACTACAGTTGGCTGATGATTTATCTACTTAGAATACACCCAGCGCATTCTCCAGGGTTTTGTGTTTCTCACAAGAAATAGTTTGGGAAACTGAAAGCAAACATTCCAGCATGATAAAAAATTAAATATATTTGACATTTGGTTTGGTTTATCTGATTTATTTATATCAACATGGAATAAAAAACATGAGTTGGTTGGAAACCAAAATCTGCTGATACTAATCTCTACAGTCACCAAGATACATATGGGGAAAACCCTGCACGTAGATCGCCTACATTTTCTCCTGAAATTCCTTCACGAACTTCCACGTGGAGGCACGAATGTGGCTTTCCCACTGCACACGGCGCACTCACAGCCAGAAGGCACTAGAAGGCCTTGCTCTTTTCACTGGCAACACTCTGTGGTAGGTGCTGGGTGGAGTGGGGGACTGCAGTGAGGGTGCTGATGAGGCAGAAACTATTAGGCAAGCACAGGAATCACTGGCGGGGCAGAGAAAATGTGTAAACTGTACAGCAAGGGGAGGACTTGCCTAACGCTAATGCCCGCGCCCTGTGCGCACCAAGTCCCTTTCCAGCATCTGTGGGCCAGGCTTTGGCTTGGTTCAAGTGTGGGGTCTGGCAACTTTTCCAAGGGAATTGATTGTCAGACTTTGAGGAGCCAGTGATGAAAAGAAGAGCCACAATCCTGTTCCTAAACAAGCTTTCAATGCCATTGGCAGCCTGATGGGGAAACTAGACAAAGATGTGTGTGAACGTGAATGCGAGTCGAGATGGCAGTGGATGAGAAGCTGCGTGGGTTTACAGGAAACAGACTGTTAGTCTCCGAGAGTTGGAAAAGCTTAATGGAGGGAGTAAAGAATAAATAGGACTTTGGTGGCTGAGAGGAGTGCCCGGGGAGCTGGAGACGTGGGCATAAGGCGGGAAAGGCCCAGCAGTGGGGGGAAGAGTCTGATGGCAGCAGAGACGCAGGCAGAGTAGCAGAGGGGGTGCAGAGGAGTCACAGGCTGGGAGGTGGTGGAGGCCTTCGTGTCAGGCTGAAGATTCTGGGTTTGCCTAGGGGGAATAAGGGAGTCAGAGAAGGTTCTTGAGCAGGAGAGGAACAACTTTTGGATAAACCCACAGGTTATCTTAACCTGCGGCTAAGTAACCTTCACTTACATTTTACCTGAAAAGGCATCTTCCTCCCCTAAGATCACCTCCCTGTTGCTGCAGGCCTTTAGCCCAAGTATAGGAGGTGACCACATCAGGGATAGTCTGAGCAAAACCCCAGAACTCCTGGACTGCCTGAACTCGCCTCAGGTCCAGTCCTTGCTGGCCAATTCCTGCTAGAACCCACAGTGAGGGTCTGCAGCCAAGGGTGGACACACCGAGGCCACCGCATGTGGTGGACAGGCTGTGCCACACACGGGTGCGGGCGGGAGGATGGCAGGCTGAAATTGGCCCGTGTTCTGCTCTCCCGGCTATATCCACCCGAGGAAGAGGTGGTGTTTTTTATTCTTACAAGGGCACCTGAGGGACTGACAAGGACCTTAGAATGAAAGAGCCAGTTGGCTAAAAATCTCTAAGGGCAATCTGGAAGAGCGAGGGGCATCTTTAAATCAAAGCACTGATTTGGGTGGCACAGGCAAGGTGTACCATGGGTGGTGATGGGCCTCAGCTGCCTCCACAACAGGTCAGGGCAGGAAGCAAGACGGGAATGGGAAGGGGCGGGTCCACTGAGCTAGCGAGGGTAGTCAGGCAGGCAGCAACCCAGACTCCATCCACCATCTGCTCGTTGCTCCTCGGTGAGCAAGAGGTCTCTGTTCTCATGGAATTCAATCTACACCAGAGGCAGAACACAATCACAGTTATACTTACAAATATGTGAGCACGCCAAATAGGCCTCCATAAATAAAAATAATGGGGAGAATCCAATGAAGGGTAGGGAGAGAAATAAGGCAAATTGGTGAATCCCTCATTAGCAGGATCTGCCCTAGTCAGAGGGTGAGTAGGGAGGAGTCTTCCAAAAGCTGGCACTGCACAAAGTAGGAATTGGGAGAGATCAGTGTGGCCAGACATGGATAGGGGAAGAGGCAAAAGTGGGACAGAATCCAGAGGGAAAAGTATTATGGGCCTTTAGGAATCTGATTCATTTTAAGGGCATGGAGAAGCTACTGGAGTTCTCTCACAAAAGGGAATTCACTGATGCGATTTGCTTCTTAAAATGATCACCATGGCTTCTTTGTGCAGAATGGATTCCAAAAGGGCAAAAAGTGGAAGAAAGATGGAGTTTGTTAGAGTAGCCCAGGTAGGAGATGATGACTTGGAGGTGCGGGGTGGGGGGAGGAAGGGGCGAGGGGGAATTAAGGGATGAGCTCAGGTGTATTTTGGAGGTAAAATGACTAATGGACAGGATGGGGTGAGGCATGATGGTGGCATACATCCCCCCAGCCTTCTGATCTCAGCATTCTCCCCTGAACTTCTAGAACTTGAGATCTCTGGAAGGCTCCCTTCTACTTGACTGCATGATCCATTTGATATGGCTACAGTAGCCCTATTTTGGCCTGATATACATGGGTGAATCGAGATTAATAACTTATGTTCCTTAAGCAATCAAGATGGGGTGGAGATTAAGAATTAGTAGAGGGGCCTCCCGAGTGGTGCAAGGGGTTAAGCACCGCACTATGAAGCTATCTGCAGCCTCTGCAGCACGAGTTCCATCCCCAGCTGGCCAGGGAGCTACCCACAAGGTGCAACAGACCTCTCCTGTCTTGCCCCCTGCTCCCCTCAGCAGTGTATTTCAGTCAGTCTGCCTGTTCTGTTCCCCACTCTGTCTCTGGTGAATCCTCACCCCCCCCACCTCGCATCTCTGGCCTGTGCCCCAGCTCTTCTATGCATAAATAAATAAATCTTAAAAAAAAAAAAAAGAATTAGTAGAGAGCAGTTGGGAAAGAGTCTGAAGAACAAAGGAAACAAAGTTTTTCATCTCAAGGATTTCCTTGATAGATTAGAACTGAACAGAAAATATGTTTGTCTACATAAATCAAACCACAACACATGTTTTTTTCTGGTAGCTCTTAGGCTCTGCCTGGAGTAAGTTCCCAGGGGTTTAATTACCAATGAATATAAACTCAGAGTCTGGGCCATGTTCCGTTTTTATAAGCCATGGAGAACATGCCAGTATGATTCAATGGATAGTTAGCTGTAACTTCTGCTGTGCAGTTCTCATTAGACCTGCAAGTTCCATCCATTATCCAAAATAAGGTGAGAGGAATTAGATACAAGAACTGCCACCTCTATCCAGGCAGCACCACCGGCTGCATAAGCAGGGTCAGTCCACAGGATTCTCAAGGTTTCTAGGCCTCTGAGTAAATTCAACATCTACATTCTCTTAAATAGTTTTTGTTTCCCAAGGGCAAGTATCTGGGAGCTGCTGAAAGTGGCCACCTGGCCTTTTTCATCCATATCCCTATGGAGCTTGGCACATAGTAGGTGCTTAATGGATGCTTACAGAGTGAAGGAGTAGCCCTTTGGCTATCAACAGGGTTGTCCAAGTAAATCGGCGGTGGTCCAAACTCACCTCTTGTTGTCCAGTGGCCTGTAGAAAATGGCAATATTCATCTTGAATTGTAAGAAATTTGGCTTTTCCACTCCCTTTAGCATCTTTAAGATTAGCCATGCTCTCTTGAAAATACTGCTCAGCCACACCTGAAGAAGAGAATTATAACAATTTTGAAAGCTGCTCACAGACTTGAAATGGAAATAGAAAAATATGCTTTTAGGAGTAGCGAGCTATTGGAAAATTATAAGTATTTTAACAAGAGATCCCAATTGAAAAAGGCGGTCTTTTGCCCACTAATTTGACTATTTTGTTAGAAAAGATTTAGGTGACAGGAGGATACAGCAATTTTCTTTCCTTGGTTTTTATACATCTTAGCTTTCCCAGTGATGTGGTAAGCAAAGTTAATACAAATGGGAAACTCTCCTGCAGACCTGAACGCATTGGTGAGTTTTCATTAATTCTTTGTATAACTCTGGTTGCTCTTCACTGAGGTTGAGACTCCAAGGGTCCATTCACTTTAATAAACTCTGATTATAATCTTGGAACATAGTTTCATAACATAAAAAGTCTCGAAAACATGGTGGACATGTTGCTGAGGGAAGAAACCCAGCTATTCCAAACTTTCACACATAATGGTTATAATATAACAAAAGCATTTTCACCACATGCCAATCTTATAGGCAAGCAAAAGAAAACTTCAGGTATCAAAAAAAAAAAAAAAAAAAAAAAAAAAAAACCAGCGAGGGAATGAAGTGCCAGAGCAGTGAGTAAGAGCTGATGGCCCACGAGGGTATTAGAGGAAAGGAAAATTCTATGAGGCTGGGATTGGATAAACCTGAGGGGGACCAGAGAGGAGGCCTGAGGCCTGTGTGTGGTAGATAAGCTGGGATGGAGCTGCCCGCAAAAATCCAGTGTGGCCCGCAGAAGTCAAGGTGGACACCAAGTGGCCCTCACCCTTTCCTTTGAAGCTTGTGAAGATGCTGTGATAGTACTCCTGAGATGAGGTTGTGTTATGTGGCACAGCTCACTTAACAAAAGTGAGAATATCTCTTGGGCCTGATTTAAGCACATGAACCCTTTAAAAAAAACCAAACAGACAGATTTCTTTGGTTGGTGACAGAAAAAGAAGGCAGAGAGATGGAAAGTGTGAGAGGGATTGGGCAAGAAGGAAGTCTTCCACTGCTAAGCTGCACAGGGCCGTGGGGTAAGGAGCAGCCTGTAGGAGCTGAGAGGGGCCCTGCCCAATAGCCAGCAGGAAAATGGGGACCTCAGACCTACAACCACAAGAAACTGAAATGTGCTAGTAACAGGAATGAGCTTGGAAAAGGAACCCACACTCCGAATGAGAAAATGTCTGGTCAACAATCTGTTTTAGCCTGAACAGAGAAGCCATTCTTACAGTGCTAAACTTCTGAGCTAAAGAACTGTGAGTTTGGGGCTCCCTGGTGATGCAAGGGGTTAAGCACAGCACTGTGAAGTTATCTGCAGCCTCTGCAGCATGCGTTCGATCCCTGGCCGGCCAGGGAGCTACCGACATGGCACAGCAGACCTCTCCTCTCTCACCCGCTCTCCCCTCAGCAGTGTATTTCAGTAGATCCACCTGTTCTGTTCCCTACTCTGTCTCTGGTGAATCCTCTCACCTCCTGCACCTCTGGTCTGTTCCCCAGTTCTTGTATGCATAAATAAACACATCTTTAAAAAAGAACAGTGAGCTTATAAATGGGTATTTCAACAATGGCACTTTTTTTTTTTATGCAGCAACAGAAAACTATTACAGCCAGGAACCCCTAAGATGGAATTAAGAGCAATTGCACTGTCCATGGTGAGGCCTCAAGGCTGTCCCTCCAGAGGCCATGGCCAGAGAAATGGCATCTGAAATAACGATGCACCGCACACGGGCCGTGCACATGTGTGAGGGCTGAATGTGCACCTACTTGCGTTGGAAATTCTGAACCAAGAAATTACACAGAAACTAATCCAAAGCTGGAGAAATTATAGGACTCCAGCACAGGGGTTGACAAACTTATTCTGTGAAGGACAGATGGTAAATATTTTAGGCTTGGTGGGCCAGATGGTCTCTGCAGCAGCTATTCGGCTCTGCCGTTGTAGCGCAAAAGCAGCCAGAGACGAGAAAGCCATGAACGAGCATGGCTGTGTCCCTGGAAAACTTTGCAAAAACAGGTGGTGAGTTGAATTTGGCCCTAACAGAGGGCCTGCTCGAGCAAAGGAGAGTGCCATGTCTTCCTCCCCCAGGAATGGGGACTCCCCCTGAAGGCATGCTGGAGATGGCCTCCAGGTGACATGACAAACTCACAACCTTTGCTGGGGATGATTAACACTCACATTGGCAGTGGCCCACCTGGCGTTTCCACTTGGAAACCTCACCTGTGTTGTGCAGAACGTGGTCGCTTGCTCCTTTACGTTTCCTCTCTAGTTACTTTCCCTTTATCACCTCTAATTTCATTTTCGTGGCTTCTCCCTAGTTTCTTGATAGGGCCAGCTAGTATCTTCTCTATGCTAATATCTTTTCCAAAGCATCAGCCCTCAGATTGGTTTTTCTCATACTCGGGTGTGAACGTCAGGTGCTTCCAAAGAGGCCTCCAAGAACACAGCACCCCAGGAATCACAAGGAGCGAGATCAGGGCTGTCCTGTGCAGGGTGTGGCTGTTCCTGAGGTGGTAGAGAGATGGTGGGAGAGCTCTGGAGGCCAGAGGCTGCCAGTATGCAGGTCCCGGCCGTGCAGCCTTTTTTTTTTTTTTTAATTTTTTTAATTTTATCTATTTTTTACATCAGTTTTCATTTTTGCACAAGGTATGCATTTTCATCTTGGTTATAGTCCCCATACAATTCCCACCCCCCTTGTTTTGATCCTACTCCCCTCTCCTCCCCTCCCCCCCGTAGTGTGTCTCTGGTTTACAGTTGCTTGTTGATTTTGATTTTTACTTTATTATAACTAGTCTTTTTCCTGGTCCCTTATTTAGGTTTTCTAAATTCCTGCTATGACTGTGGCACATCATGGGCTTCAGTTCCATCATCTGGAAAGGGGATCCTTACACCAATCATTCCCTTGGGGGTGCTGTGAAGGTCACGGGGTTATTACAGACAAATAGCTGATGACATGCTTAACACCTTGTCAGTGCTCAATAGCTTTTAATCGTTTAAATTTTATAGACAGTTTAGGTCACATGGTTATGGATCTCTTTCCACACCAGTGGCACACTGAGAGCTGACAGGACAGGAATGGCATGGAAGTGGACAGAGTTGCGTGGCCAAAAGGCACAGGTGCATTTCAGCAGCCCCGCACACCCAATAGCTCCGAGGACACGTCTGGAATCCATAATGAGAATCTTGTGCTTTACGTGGGAAATGTATCCATCAAATCTTGTCCACCTAAAGAAAGCTTAGGCCTGAAAACAAGCCCGTTTTACTGATCTGCAAGGTTTACAGTCATGCAGAGCTTGACGACAAGGCTGCATCCGAGGATGGCATCATTAGGGGTTTCAGTGGCGTGTTGAGTGACCGTGACTTTACTTTGTTCGGCACATAGGCAGCTGCCAGCGAGAGGCAGGCATTTGCCTGTGAGGTGCTGCCTTCCAGAGAGGTCTCAGGCCTGGGCCTGCAGCCTGACTGGACAGGAGGCTATTGAACTGAAGGCCCTGTTCCTTTTTTTCAATGGCTGGCAGTGCTGGTGGGTAGGGGGTGGGGTCTGCCAGACCAGCAGATGGCTTTCTAGGGTGTTACTCAAACTTTTCTGTTGGGAGGAGAGAATTCTAGCACATGGAAACTATTACATCTCTTTCACTTGTAGCTGATTCATGGAGGGGAACAAACATGAATGTTCAAGCTAAGTATCAACTTTGGCTACTTTGATAATCTGATGACAGCAAGCGTGGGGGTGATGTGGGATTTATTTCGTGGATTCTTAAACGCCTTACAGAAATGAACATTCCATGTCTAAAATCTAATGAGACTATTCAGGAGCAGCGGACTCCTAATATTTTAATTTTCTGTCTGATTGGGAAGTAACCAAAGAATGTAACCAAGGAAGGCTCTTTCAGCATCTCAGCCTTGTTCTCCTAGAGACATGCCTGACTATAAAGAAGGCATTTGGAAGAGTTGGGGTGGACCTGGCAGGGACTGAGCGTCAGACCCCGCACTTGGGCAGGAGTAGCGCTGTGCTCAGGTGAAGGAGGAAGACACAGGGGTGGGGAGCACCCTCCCCTCCCCTGGGTAAGCAGCCAGTCTCTCTGACACAGTTAAATACAGCTGCGCTTGGCTCCTTTCTATGCTGCTTTTGTAAAGTCCTCCTATGTCTTAGTGTTCCTTTCCCCAGTCATCACATGCAGACCAACTCCCCCTTGTTTAGGCTGGTCCCCTACACCTGAGTGCCACACATTCCTTGCCCTTCTCTAGCTGGTCTCACAGAGATGCTGAAAGAAAGGAAGCTGCTTGGCTTAACTCAGACTAGTGGGCTTACAACCTCTCACTCGAGGGAACCCATTCATGTTTTCCAAAAAGGATGCTGGTAGCACACCTGGCTCTTTGGAAGTGAAGGAGGAAGGTAGGGGAGGAAGAAGGTGACATGGCCTCTGACAAGGGAGCCTAGCTTGCGGCAGCAAAGTGGGAGGGGCTGCTGGAAATCTGCCCCCTTGCATTAGCCTCCTAACATCACTGCTCCCCTTCCTCCATTTCAGAGTCCTGGAGGGTCTCTAGTCAAAGCGGGGTGACGGCTGTCGTTACGGACACGTTGACCGTCAGGCATCCATTACTGCTCCTCAGGACCCTTGCATGTGAGAACAGCCTAGAGCCTGGGAACACAGCCTAGAGCCTAGATGCTCAGGGCGTCTTCCCAGTCTGTCAACCTGAAACCACTTTTACCTCCACCTGGGATACAGGAAAGTGCCTTTGTTTTAAGATCCTGACTTATTTCTCCGACCTTAAAATTCCCCCCAATTAATCATAATTAATCTTCGAGATGAGAGAAAATTTGGCCTATTACTACAGCTAAGGATAGCCACCCTGATAAACAGGCTTTGTTCTTCTGGAAGAGCCATGCCCTGGAAGGTCCATCCGGGACCAGGATCCAGAGGGCCAGAGGTCACAGTCCCTGGCATGGGACGCGACCTCCCGGCGTGGGCCTTGTTGCCTGAGCTGGTGCCCTAAGCTGGTGCCGTTTCGGTGCTCTCACACATGGCCATCCCTAACTTTGAAAATCTCTTCTAGAATCTTCTGCAATCTGATGCTGGAGGCCTGGGCAGAAGATGAGGTCACTTTCTAAAGTACAGGAGTGTGACTTAGCTTGTAAATCTGAGCCCTAGGGCACAGGTGTTCCAAGGCCATCAATCTTCTCCCATGCTCCCTCCAGCAGAAGGTGCAGGCTGGCTGACCGGGTGGGCATGGAGGCTTAATCTCTCCTGGCGGTCCCATCAGACTGTTCACAGGCAGGCAACAGAAAACAAGGCTTCATTCAAAGAGCCAGAGGAATGTGGGGTTACGATTTGGCACACTGGAGGTCAGGAGGTTTTTAATTAAAATAAATTCCAGTAACCCCGGGCTCATTTTCTTGAGGCCGTCCTAAGGCCAGTTGGAGCAGCGAGGCCAGCTTTCATTAAGAGGGAGGCCGGCATGTTGAATGTGACAATTATCTTTTGTAACATTCTTGGGAAATAGTCTGTACTAACTGCGAAAGCATTAAGGACCCCGGGGAATTTGAAAATGGAAAGTCTCAAAAACTAGCTTGGTGTTAACCAAGAGGAGTGCTATTACCCAGTAAACAAACAGATTGAACTCATTTAGACCCTGCTGGGGGGCTGCCACCGGCTCTGCAAGGCCACTTGCCGGCCTGGGGGCCCACCAAGGATGCCTGAGAACATAGGAAGCGCAGGACAGTGTCTCTCCTCTCTGTGGGGCCCCTAGTGGTCCACATAGAAGGCCCTCTTTAGGAGGAACACTTCACAGGGCCTGGTCATGGCTTCTGGGCATGAATGAACGAGCTGCTCACAGTCACGTGGGCCCAGGAAGTGCATGGCTGTCTCTGGGCAGGTTTGGTTCAGTAGCTGAGGAAACCAAGATGGCAGCTGGCTGGGTGAGGCTCTTGGGGGAGAGTATATGATGCCAGTGCCTGGTACCATCGGCCTGATCAGGGGTTCAGTTACCTTGAACATTCTCAATGCCAGGCAGCTGACAAGAAACCCAGCCCCATCACTCAGTTCCACTGGGGCCACTCAGTGGTGGTCGCAGTCCAGAGTATTGTCCCAGTTACTTGTCTGGTAAAGAACATGCACTTCCCAACAGCTGCCCTAGAAATCCTTCTTGAAGCCAAGTCAGAGTATGAATAACATGCTTTTCTGAGAAGTTCTGAAGACAAGAGTAAAAAACTGGAGCCTCATGAAAGTGGCTTTTATGAGACATCACTGAGCATATGTACCTCATGCTTCCTAGGAGAGGGGTGCAGCCACAGACATAGTTCCCATTAACAGAGCTGGAGGGTGGTTTATAGGAAAAGTTTGATGAGGTTTCAACTCTGAAGCAGGTTGTCCTTCTGGCAAGAGTCCAGCATGGGCTTGGAGTAAGGAAGAGGGCCCCCCCTTCTACTCCTCTGTGGCTCCAAGGGTCTCCAACCTGCCTATCCTCTGGGGCTCCCCAGCCCCCTGGAGCTCTGGGGACAGGGCACCACAGTGTCCTTGCTCCCTAGTTCCAGAGTGTGGTAAGCAGGCAGTGCCTGGCCTGTCTAGGGCTTGCTTTGTGTCTAACTTGGAGAATGACTGTGGATTGGAGAATGACTAATCCTCTAGATGGGTTGTGCTCTAAGTACCTTCTAGTGGTTTCTGAGAGGGGTTCACCATCCTAACGAGTAAAGAGAAACAGTGAGAGGCTCCCCTTTGTTTCTCCATCCAACCCACGGCACTCACGGCAGCTCCCCCCTTCACTGGGCCTGGGCAGCACAGAGCAGGCATGGAAGCTGCCCTCTGCCTGGGAGCTCAGAGGCAGGCCCATCTCGGGCTGGCTGGGCATCTTGTGGTAAGATGTGGGCCCTGAGCCAGGGCTGAGGAAGGGTCTCTCAGAGCCACAGAGCTCAGGAGGTGCTGTGAAGCCAGAGGAGGAAGGAGCATGGAGAGGGGAAGTATAAGGAGGGAGGGAAGTGGGTGTGCACAGCCCACGGTGGCTCACACTCACTTTCCAAGGCCTCACCTGAAGGCCTTGGGTTGGAGCTCCAGCAAGGGCGGCGACAGAGGCAGTTAAGGAGGGAAGAGGAAGGGGGCCTGACTGTGGTGGCTTCCAGGGGTCCACGTTACCTCTCAGGAGCCCCCTGGAGTTGGGTGTGTGTCCGCCAGGGGCTGTCTGACTGCCGGTCTCTCAGGGACACAAGAACCCCAGGAGTGACAGTGACCCAGAGACCAGGGAGTGGGCTGGGGGAGGGGAGGCAGGGACAGCATGGGGGCACGTAGAGAAGGCAGGTCACAGGAGGAAGAGCTGAGCAAAGGGAAGATCACCTGTTAAAGAAAGGGGAAGCTTCTGTGAGGTAGAGCACCTAGCTTCAGGTTCTCACATGCTTCACAGCTAAGTGCAAAGTGTGGGGAGAGGGAGAGATACATATTTGTGCATAGGGAATTACATTTCAGGAATGCGCCCTGCTCCAGGCCGGTGCACTCATCAGGGATCCCATCCCTGCTCTGGAGGCTGCGCTCTGCCCTCTCCAGGCCCTGCAGAGTCCCAGGGCCCGCCGTAGCCCAGGCCCAGATGAGGCCACTTCCAAACAAGGCCGCCTGTGCTCAGCGGGCTCTGCCGCTCAAAGGTTTACACTGAAATGTACTTGGCTTCAGTCCCTCTGATTTTAATATCTTTTAGAAGAAGAGTTATAAACACAAGGCCAATGCCCCGAGCACTGAGCAGGGCTGGGAGAGCTGTTAATACCAAGTTTGTCTATGGCTGCTCTGGGAGGCTGGCCATGCACAGGTTAGGAACATTCCAGGAGCCTGGATTGGGAGTCCTGACGCAATCACAATCCTTCACGACTTCTAGGGCAGTTTGTTTGCATAAGGAATGCGAAGAAGGCACAGACTCAAGGATTCACTTTAGCATGGAGCCTGACACACTGGCTTCCTGGCCGGGGGCGTTTTGTCTGCAGAGCGCAATGCCTTCAATGGGCATTGAGCAAACATTGAGAAATTGTTCTCTCCAATGATCCTTCAGAAAAAAAAAAAAAAGGACATGCTCCCCCTGTTAGGAGGCATGGATCCAGCCCGCACACTCATCTGGTCTCATTCAGAGCCTGAAACACATGTGAATGAGTTACCATCAATTGCAAACTGATTTTACCCAAAAATCCAGATTTCTGCCTTCTCTTGGGAAAGCAGAGGCTCTGTTAATATAAGACTGCCTTCCATGTGAGGGCAATGGGCTGGAGCTGAGTAGCGGCTGCTCCCTTCCAAGGATAGAGGCTTCTCCAGCTTGCCACAATCCTCACTACTCCATATTGTCTCTCTCATACTATAGCCAACAGTTAGCTGCCATTTATAATTATGCTTGCTGCTGCTACTGCTTTCTAATAACTGTCTGCTTTCATTCACCTTGCTTGGCTCCTAGAGGCATTTAAATTTGTGACTCCTGCTTGCTTAGTGGTTTTTATCAAACATGCATTTGCACTTTTAGTGTTTATTAATAGTTGTGAAATGGAAGTTTCTTTTCCCCTATAAAAGGGATTTCAGGCATCAACAAGACGGGCGAAATGTTGACTGTGTGAAGGTTTTGAAGCTGTCATGTGTAGAATATTCTATGGAGTGAAGATTAGAAAGTTCTCCTTTTCTCTCTATCCTTAGACAAGGTCCTCCAGCTCTGGAAAGGCACTAAAACTGTTCCAGGGGAGCAGAATGAGGGCTCTGCAAGAGGACAGACAGAGAAACACCAGCATCCCTTTCCTATATCCTCCCTGGAGGCCCTGCTTGGCCCGGAGGGTTCTGCACACCAGCTACTCAAACAGGCATCCCCTTTGTGTCTCCCACCCCCAGTCTCCCTGTCTTAGTTCAACTTCTCAGCCCTAAATCATCTCCAGCTACCAATTTCATTCTTGCTGACACATTGGACCTTACTTTAATAGAAAACAAAATATTTTTATCTGACATTTTGGAATGCACTTCTAGGGCTTCTTGATGACTTACATGGTATCTAAATAGTCTACCAACCACCACACAGTCACCAGAGTGTGTGTTCTCCCTCAGTAGAAGGGTACCAGATGCTCCGAGCCCAGGATGTGAATTCAAGAATCCCCACAGCTCGAAGCCCTACTTAGTCGGTGGGTCTAAGAAAAACCAGATGAGTCGTAAATGGCAACTTCCTTTTGAAATCCTGAAACTGTGATTTCATCCTGATGGAAAGCACCGCCCTGTGGGAGCTGGAGGCCATGTTCCAACCGGCCAGATCTGTTGCCACAAAAGCTCCACAACAATCTTTAAAAATAGATCACCTTTGAAAGCAGAGCAGATTTCTCTGTAAGCCACCGGGGAGGCTGTGGTGCTCTCGGTCGCTATGTTTGGATGGAGATTGGCTGTATTTGAAAATGAAAGATTACAAGAAGGCTCTAGAAACCAAGGGCTCTGGGAAATCCCAGAGGGGTACAGCCTCAGGAGACCAGATAAAGCCACACAGGCCCCCCCAGGACCCTGTCACAACTCTTTACCCTCCCCAAGGCAGCTGTGTGCTGACCCTGATGCCGAAGGGAGCAGGCAGGGCTGTCTCCCACAGAAGACTCTCACCATGGTGCTCAGGGTTCCCAGAAGCCACAGCAGTGCGGGCGACAGAGTGGGCGGAGCCCCCAGCCTCCTCTTGAGAGGGGTTTCTGCTCAGGACGATGTGATGCGCCTGTCACCACAGAGAGAAGAAACATGTTTGTTTATGGGCTTAGCAGCAGCTACAGTGAACTAACTGTTTTTGCAGTGATAAGCAGAAAGCCCCAGAACTTTCTAGCAAGCTGGACAATATGATTTATGTGGCAGCGTAATCACTCTTGGGAGCGCTGGGTTTCAAAAGCATTGTGCCGTGGAGAGAAAGCACTGGGCACTGAGTCCAGATGGCTCGGTGCTGTGGCCTGGGCCTGTCACCTAGTAAATAATCTCAAAGTCTCCGCTGCGAGAGTGCAGTGTCAGCATAGGAGGGGGAGATCTCAAGGACGCAGCGATGGACCAAGAAATGTGGGTGCCATGCAAAGGAAGAGCAATCCCAGCAACCCTGTCCTCTGGCCAGCCTAGAATGGGGGACCTACCCAGGCCCCAGTGTCAGCAGCCTCACCCTCAGAAATCCAAACTCCTTCCTCTACCTGATGCACCAGGCCCCTTTGCCTGCACCCTCTGCACTGGCCCACAGGAGCTACCTGCACATGGAAAACAGCTCAGTTCCCTTTTTAAAACATATCTTAAAATCCTTTAAGAAGAAAAATCCTAATGGTCCTATGAACAAAAAGTAATAATACTCCTATCACATGATGAAATGCAAATTTCAGCCCTTTGAATAAAAAGATAAAGTGACACATGTGCTTGTCAACATTTGGAGTTTTAAAAATGCCATTAGTATGTGTTTACATTCATCTGATAACAGACACTATGCACTATGGATTGCTGGTTATGGGAAAGGCAAAGGCTAGAAGGTGTGGGCAGGACCGAACGATACACGGCGAGGTCATACAGGGCATGAGGACGAGATGGCAGATCTTGCACAATCAACTGCCCCAAAAGAGGGACAGATAAACTAAAAAACCCTGAGTTGAAAGGAGAGAAAGTTTAGGATGCAATGGGGAAAACATACCTACAGCTACGATGTTGGCTGCACCTGCTGTTTTGCAGTTTTACTGAGATATAATTGACACACAGCTCTGTAATTTGCAGTGATCCGCACAATGACTTGACATTCATACCACAAATGATCACCACAGTAAGTGTCGTTAACATCCACTTATTAATCATATAACTGGAAGGGTGCACCCCTTCACCCAATTCCCCTACCCTCAAACTCTAGCCTCTGGTAACCCCAAATCCTACCTCTTTTTCCATGAGTTTTTTGTTTTGCATTATTTTCTTTAGAGTCCACCAATGTTAGCTCATACAGAATCTGTCTATCTCTTTCTGACTTTTTTCACTTAGCATGACACCCCCAAGGTCCATTCATGTTGTCACAAATGGTTAAGCTGTGTTTTAATTCTTTTTCATTTGTGACACCAATTTTAATTTCTGTCACAATTTTTTATTATCCTCATTTTGCAGATGAGAAAACTGAGGTTGCTGAATGGGGAATCTATCCAGGCTATCTTACAGCTAGTAAGGCATGAAGAGAAGGCTCTGACCTTGATACTTCAACATCAAATTCTGCTTTTCCTACCATGTCACGAATGCTCCGTTCTTCCCACCCTGATCCATGGCAGACATCACTAATTGATGCCAACATACTCCCCAAAGCACCCTGATTCATCCAGTCTCCAGGAGCTATGACTAATCTGTGGGAGCTGGCTTGGAGATAGTTAGACCTCTAGAACCTTCTAGTCCCAACCCAGCAGTGAGACTATAAGAATGACAGAGATTTGCTCTTCTGATGACCAGCTGAACACATTTCATATGTTAATGTTCTATGTTAAAATCAGCTGAGATAGTAGCTCTAGACTTCCCATTACTGGGGCCATTCCAAATCAAGATTCCTGGAAATAACTTTTATTGATGTGCCAGAATAATGAGTATTTCTTATTCATAAATGCTAACACTATCTTTTGACTTAAAACTACTTTTTCTAATTACAGGATTAAATAAATTGAGTAAACAGTTTGGATGACCCCCACACTAGTCATTATTTTTGATTCAGCCTGAAAGAAGGAAATGCTTTTCAGTTAATGGGTACTCTGAGGCGCAAGTACAATTGATGCTTGAACAACATACATTTGAACTGTGAGGCTCCTCTGATTTTTGGATTGTTTTTTCAATAAATATTTTTAATGCACCAATCATTGTATCTGTAAGTAAATATGAATTTCTTTTTCCACGTTATCTTTTCATATGATATCTAGTGTTAGTAATACATAGAACATTGTGTGTTTTGTATCATGTAAGGCAGTGGTGATATAGGAAATGATAATTCATCTTGTAAACAAAGTAAACTTGTAGTACCTAGAAATACCATCCAGTGCTGTAAATGTATTTTCTCTTATGATTTTCTTTACCACCTTTCCTTTTTTTTTAGATTACTTTATTGTGAGAAAACAGTCTATAAAGCAAAATGTGCAAAATACATGTTTGGCTGTTGATTAACCATTAAGCTTCAGGTCAGGTTATTAGTCAGGTTATTTTGGAGAGTCGAAAGGTATATGTAGATTTTCGACTAGGTAGAAGTGAGCACCCCAACCCCTGAGTTGTTCAAGGGTCAGCTATATATGGAAGAAAAGGCAACAGACACCCCAGAAAGAGAGTGAAACTATCCCATGTTAAGTGTTTGGGGAAAGGAAGAGAGAGTATAAAAGCCAGCTCCACCCCAAATGCAAATTGAATTATCTTTACTTTGGAGGTCAGCTCTCTCTACAATCCACTATTTTTTTTTAAAAGATTTATTTATTTATGCATACAAGAACTGGGGTACAGGCCAGAGGTGTGTGTGGGGGTGGTGAGAGGATTCACCAGAGACAGAATGGTGAACAGAACAGGCAGATTGACTGGAATACGCTGCTGAGGGGAGCAGCAGGCCAGACAGGAGAGGTCTGCTGCGCCATGTGGGTTGCTCCCTGGCTGGCAGGGATCGAACTTGTGCTGCAGAGGCTGTGGACAGATTCATAGGTTGTCTTAACCCCTTGTGCCACCAGGGAGGCCCTACAATTCACTATTAAAGAGGAGCCCCCTGTGATGGCAAGATTTAACTCATTGTTACAGTGACTTTCAAAACACAGGAATTTAGATGGATTAAAAATCAAATTCATATTTAAAAAGATTTTTTTTCACTCAACATGACAATATAAGGCAACACAAAAGACATGTCTATCAAAATATATTTCAAATGAATCACTACATGTTCTGAAAGTTGTGTAAGTTGCTGTTTGCCTTGGAGGTGGGAAGTTTTCCAAGGGCAAAAAAGCTTACAATAGCAAGAAAGTGGACCTTAAAAGCTTAAGGGATCTGAATTTATCACAAACTCTTCATAACCTCAACTTCTTTTTTTCGCGAGAGATGCTAATATAAGCAAACATTTATTATTCATTATGTACTTCAGAAACTCAATCCCTGATTTAATTTATTATTTGATGTTCATGAAGCTTCTTAAAACCATATGCTGGGGAGGAAAGGGGGGCAATGTGGGCAGTGTAAAAGGGAACCCAAGATGTTTAAAATGTGCAAGATTAGCATTTCATTTATTCAGTAAAATTCAATTCAGTTTAATTTAATTCAATAATATTCAATTCAATTCATCCTCATTTGTAGATGCTTTTACATGCCAGATATTGTGCCAACACTAGGAATTCACAAAAAAAATCAGGCAGGGGTTTGGCCTCAAAGGAGTTCACAGATGAATTCTAAATACAAGGGTGGAATTTGATCCTTTTCAACTTACAGACACTGCCCCTTACCAGGTTTTAGGACCTGGCTTACTAAACCGCCTATCCACCCCTGCTCCCATTGCCATTTTCAGTGATTTCAGTATCGATGAGGTTGGCCTGCACCTATCAGGCAAGAAACAGATGACACAGTGTAAGGGGTTAATTGAGGAAAAGCTCCATCCAACTATACTTCACTCAGAGGAAGTGCAAGGAGAGAGACCTCAAGGCCATAGCTTTCACCACAGTGGGCATGCTAGGGAGGGGGGCAGCATTGGCTGGAACTAGAAATGGGAATAGTAGGACAGGGGCTGTGACTTTCTGTAGAGGTACACAGCCCACTTGCAGGGACCTGGCAGGGACTGGCTGAGGTATACCCCGTCCTCTCTCTCCTGCCAAAGTCAAGTCTGGGTGTATCCCAACCAGCTGGCAAAGGGCTCATGAACACTAGACTTAAGACTCAGCATTTGGGGCCCAGGGCAGAGCTGTGAGGGAGGCAGAGGAGCTGATGGCAGACTAAAATAGCCAGCAGATGACCCATCTGGCACCTTGGCCCTTCAGGATCTGGTGGGCTTGTAGCAGGGTGGTCCCCAGGAAAGGGGAAGTTCTAGGTTTCCTGCCCCACTCAAAGGAGGGTGGAGCTAGGGAGAGAAGACAAACCTGCAGAAGAAGACTGAGGAAGGAAGGAAGCAGGATGGAGCCAGAAGGAGACCTGGAGGAGGCACATGGAGCAGAGAGACACGTGAAGAAAGTGCGCTTGCCTTTTGGTTGCGGACAGGGTGACACAGATGTGGGTGAGACCCGTGGGGAGGTGACAATGGCAGTTTTTGTCTTGATTTTGATTTTGCTCTTTTCCTTCCAGACTGGTCTGGTTGTTTCTGATCCTTTTATGTGGGTCCCCACTGGAAGGTGCTTTAGACCTGTGGCAGCTTTCAGGCCTTGCTCTGGGCCAATCCCACTTGGGTGGACTTTTACCCACGAGGGGACGGGGAACTTTGGGTGCTTGATTTAGAAACTATATTCTTTGCCTTTCCTGTATTGTTTACTAATTGTATTAAAGTTCCTTCCCATTAAAGTCTCATGTTTTGTGTGTTGATGCGGCAGATGGCAGAACCTATTTAGAGCAGGCAGGTTTGGGGGGTCTGGGGTGCCCCTCGCCTGCCCTGGAACAGTAAGAGTGGAGATGCTCTCACCTGAAGCAGGCGGAGGGGGCCTGGAAGCCCACCCATTTGCTCCCACCCAACTGCCCCTGTAAGGCCTTCCATGGACCCTGAGGGCTGGGGCCATGCAGATTGAGAAGCAA